TCGTTCCTCCTTCGTGTACACCTATTTTGGGTACCTACTGACGGTCAAAGGTTCGGTATGACTATACCTAGTGTGATCGTTCGACGGTTCACTATATGCTTGGTTTCGGCTCTAACGGAAAAAAGGGACTCGAATTGTCCTTGATGTCGGTGCCCCCTTGGGCTGCCAGACCCTCGATCCTCACCCATTACAGGTTTCAAACGGAACGAGTTCAATTCGAGGGGATTCACTGTCTTATACCCGTACGAGGAATAAATCCCTACGAAAGTATAAGGTATGTATCCCATGGGTTATTTGCTAAAACTCATACGAAGAATAAATTCTTACGAGAGTAAAGCATTCACCCCAACTAATTTGGATCGAAGCTCGTGTCTAGAGCTTATGTTATGCCAATGCGAGTGATGTGTGTGAGGAGGAACATACCTACCTTCGACCCAAAAGGAAAACAAAACAAAGAAAAATGATAGAATCCTGACAAAGCTGAAAGCCAAAAATAAAATGTTAGTACGACAAAAAAACGAAGCAATTAAAAATTTCAATAAACGGATCCTAATTAACTAAAAACTAGAAATCATAATTTCCACCAAGATGACAATATGTAAACGACATACAGCCTGACTCTCTAAAAAGTTCCCAGTGGAGTCGCCAAGCTGTCATAACCATTTTTTAGGTGGAACAATTAAATATTATTTTAAAAAACGATTATGACTTTAATTTGGAAAAATTGGGGAATTTGGAATTAATTTGGAATAAATTGAATAGAGTCGCCATCGACCTTTAGGTTAGGTAGGTCGAATACCTAAAAACGTCTTTTAAAACAATTTAAAAAAAATCATTTTTAAAGACAAAAATGGTCTGCGTTTACCAAATGTTCGATTTGATGGGTTCGGGAGTCGGTTACGCGTGGGGAAGGATTAGCACCCCACAACGCCCAAAAAACTGGTACTGTGTCGCTTACATGTTGTCGTAAAATGGTGGAAATTACAAATCGAATATAAAATTAAGATGTGATCCTTTTATTGAAATTTAATCAATTTGCTTCGAATAAATTAATTACAGAAAATTCTTTAACTCGAAAAGAAATATCGAAATTAGTAATCCTCCATCAGGAAAGCTAACTCGACTATTTCTAGTTAATGAAAGAATATTCCCTCATTGATAAATATGCCAATCGAATATAAATGAAATTAACGTTTGCATCCAAATAAAAATGAAATAAATACTGAATTAAAAAACACACATTGCATTATTAAAATAAATTAATCTGTAAAATATACTCGACTTGTTGCAAGTTCCTATGTCGTTAAAATGCCGTATCGGATCGTACCACTTCGACCAAGTGGTACTTTCCACGCCCATTCTACGCATACGTGTTCTTGAAAATATAATCGAATATTTCATACATAGATAAAAATATAATGAAAATAAATGTAATTGGAAATACAAAAATAAAATATTCACATTACTAAAAAACATTATTTACATAATACAAATAATCGAATAACAAGTACAATAAAATCATACATAAATGAATAAAATAAAATATTCACAAATGTCAGGGATAAATTCGAACATTAACAAAAATACCTAACATATAAAATCAATGACTAAAATGAAACTATTACAAACATTGGGACCAAAGTCAAGTATCCACAAAAATGACATAATATACATTAGTAGGACTAAAATATAAACAAGGAAACATAGATGCCCAAAACAAAAGAAAATAAAATAGACATTAAACCAAATATATTAAAAAACAGAAAATGACTAAAATAAAAGCAATTAGAACTTGAAGCCAAAAATTAAAAAAAAAATAAAGTTATATTCAGTGATTAAAATAAAATAATTACACAATACGAGATCAGATTCCAACATTCACGAAAGTAGTAATATAAAAGAGTAAGGACTAAAATGAAATAAACAGAAACATAAAAGATCACAAAGTAATTAAACCAAACATCAAACAAATGACTAAAATAGAATATATACGAATATGGTGACCAAATTCAAATAACAGTAAAGATAATAAAATGCATGGGATCAGTGATTAAATTGAAATATTTGAAAATATTAAATCCAGAATCAAATATAGACAAATATGATATAAAATATGAACAGTGACTAATATATAAACATTTGCAAATTTCATGACCAAATCCGAATATCAAAGGAAAATGCACAATAAACTGAAACAGTGACTAAAACGAAATAAATATAAATATTACAACCAAATTATAATATCAGTAAACATAATATACAAATTAATGACTGAAATGCAATCATTAAAAACTAAAAGGCTCGAAATAAAACAATAATAATTTCATTAAATGACTTAAATAAAGCATTACAAAGGAGAAGGGACCTAAAGTGTAGTTACCCCATGCGTGAAATTACAGAACTCGTCCCCTCAAAACGACGCCGTTTTGCAAAAGCTATAAATAGCCCAAATAACTCCCAAAACCGGTCATCTGTTTCATTTTCCCCTAGAGAAGAGAGAGAGTAAGAGAGAGACTGAGAGAGATGAGATCCAGAAACCGGTGGAGTCTCCACCGTGCCGGCCGCCTCTCGTCGGCGGCCACCGCCGTTCACCGGCGTCGGAGAGGAGAGAGGAAGGCATCATTCGAAGCACCCTTTCGCCCTGAGCATGGATCGGAGATCCGTTTGGCCTGAAAACGGCTCAAACTCCGTAGATCTACAACGGAACCTACGGTTTCTTCGACTCCGGCAGCCACTGGAATGACCTTGAACCGAGGTAAGGGCTTCGCCCTTTTCTTTCTCTCTTAGTTTTCTTTCTTTCTCTTTTTTTTTTTAAAATCGAATGGAATTTTTTTCTGAAAAACCGAATCCCACCTCTCTCCGTTTTTTTTACAACCCGAATGACCCCCCCCTTTTCCTCTGATATCTTTGCTTGATTTATGGATGATTTTGCTTCGTTTGGTGAGATGATGATGATGCTAGCGTAGGGGTAAGGGTCTCTGATCTTGGTAGGGACAAATTTCCCGATTTATCGGGATTTAGGTATATTTTTTTTAGGGTTTTGATTCTAGGCTACTGTATATGATAAGTTGATATTGATTTGGTTTCTGTTGATTGTTTTTTTTTACTGTTTCTATCACTGTTCGGCCTCTGTTAATGATGACGGCGACGACGAGATGGACCGGCAGCAGTGACGACGGCGGTGGGAAGTGCCACTTGGCTTGAGCGGCGGCGGCTGATGATGATTTAGGGTTTTGAAACCCTAATTTTGTTGGGTTATCATATGATGGGCTCGGGTTTGGGCCTTGGTTGGGCCTTGTTGTATTGGGCTTTGGCCTGCAAAAAAATATGTAATAATAAATAATAATACAATAATAAGATAACGATAATAATAATAATAATAATAATAAAATAACGATAAAAAAACCCGGACAAAAACGGGTGTCTACACATTGATTATCTTATTTCTTTCTTTTATCTTTCCCCCTTTAATTTCTGCTATAAACTTTGTTTATCTTTGCGAGCCTATAAACTCATGTTGTTGTTGTTGTTGTTGGTGCTGGTGGCGGCGGCGGCGGTGGTGTTAATAAAAAAGATGATGATCAATGAAGAAAAGGGTTGCCAGCTTCAGTTTCTTATACAGAAGAGCAAAAATCTTTCGCTTGATTCTTCCTCTTCTCTTCTTCTTCTTCTTCGACTCCATTGCCGGCGCTCTAACCTCAACCATTTTCTTATCCATGAAAATTTCAGAGATCTGGGAAATGAAGAAGAAGAGAGATAGAACAATGGGGTTGCATGAAAACTAATATCCAACTCTTATTAATAGCTGCATTTTTCATATTATTTTGTACAAGGAAGCTTCCGGCCACTTTCATGCATGCACTTTACGATCACTTTCGTTTCTGATCATTCATACGGCCTTTAGGAAGCAACATTTATGTGTCTTTTGTTCATCGTTTTGGTTTATGTGGCGATGAATCTTGGGGTTCAAGTTGAACACCTTGGGTTTTGAGTGGGGAGTACAGTGAGGTGTTTTGCTGCTTCGAGAGGCGGCTCCGGTGGCGGAGGAGGTTGGGTGGCGTTTTCCACCGTATCTTAGAATGAACTTGACGAGTGATTGCCATTATCTTCGACAAAAACAAATAGGGTAAACTACGTGTTTAATACCTAAACTATCAGTTTTAGCCCGTTTTAGTAGGGTTTAATTGGGGCATCGACCGAACCGAATTTCCATTAATCGAACCAAACTTTTTTTTTGAAAATATTAACCGAAACGAATAAAGTTCGGTTATTTCGGTTTGGTTAAGAATTGTTTTTATAATTTTTTAATTAGATTAATTTGAATATAATAGAAATATTTTTTATTTAGGTTAAAATTTAATTAGGTATTAATAATTTAATCAGTCTAGTGTGGTTAAAAATAATTGGGTCTTAATTCTTAATGGATATGAGCTTAAAATATGTATTTAATATAGATAATATATTAGTTTTGGTTAATTAACTAAATTCGTATCGAATTAACCGTTAACCGAGTATTGAAAAAACATTAATTGTTCTCTGACCAAACTAATTTGGTAGCCGATTGAATTAGTCGAAATAATTCAGTTCGGTCGATTAATTCGGTTAAAATCGAAAAATGAACACTCCCTACGTTTTAGTATCTAAACTTTTAATTTTTTCAGAATCATACCTAAAGTTTAGTTTTTGTTTCATTTTAGTACCACCGCTAAAATTTATTTTTTGTTTCATTTTAGTACCTCCATTCAAAATTTAAAGTTAAGTTTAGGTGTTAAAACGGACCAAAAGTGATAGTTTAGGTACAAAACAAGTTAAGTTTTTAACGACGAGAGATTAAAATGAAATGAAAACTAAATGTTAGGTATAGTTTTGAAAAAATTAAAAGTTTAGGTGACAAAAAGAATCAAAACTAATAGTTTAGATACGGAATGCATAGTTTACCCAAAAATATAGATAGCATTTAGAAACTTAAATTTGAATTTAGATTCAAGAAAAACCCTTAACCTAATAATTTAAAGAAACTTAAACTTCTATCGGAGTTTATGGAGTCGATGGTTTAAGCTGCTCGGCGACGGAGCGAGCAACGGCGGCCTCTAAAGCTACGGTGAAATTAGGATCTTTTGTTAAGGATGCAACATAGTCTTCAATTCTCTTGTCGTCGTTGTTGTTGTTTCCATGGTCAGAACCCGAAAGATTGAGATCGGGAGTGATGCAAGGTCGAAACGGGTTATCGAGAACCGGAACACGATACTCCGGTGCCATTGTGGTGCCGGAGATTACTGTGGAGCTGCCGGGAGAAGACAAAGATTGTCCCGTTGTGGGATCAACATCATGGTTGTGTTGTCCTTCGTATGTTGCTATAAGAAAAGCTCTGTCTTCCAAGCATCGTTGAACCTGGACAAAATAAAACAAACATTAGGAGGTTTTAATGTCTTTATAATTAAGGTAAAATACGCATTTAGTACATAAACTATAAGTTTTGATTCATTTTAGTACTTAAACTTTCAATTATTTCAAAATCATACCTAACGTTTAATTTTTGTTTCATTTTAGTACCTCACCGTGAAAAATTTAACGCATTTAGTACCTAAACTATCAGTTTTGGTCCGTTTTAGTACATAAACTTTCAATTGTTTTAAAAACTAAACGTTAAATTTAGAACAGTGTACTAAAATGAAACAAAAACTAAAGTTTAGGTATGATTTTCAAAAACAATTGAAAGTTTAGGTACTAAAACGGATCAAAACTGATAGTTTAGGTACTAAATGCATAATTTACCCTTATAATAATGTAACTACGATAATAATAAAGGTAAAGTACACAAATGATCTTCCAACTATAGGACGTTATTTTATTTGAGTCTCTTAACTATTAAAAGTTACAAAATGGTCCCTCGACTATAGAACGTTAATTTGTTGAGTCTCTCAACTATTAAAAGTTATAAAATGGTCACCCGACTATTCATTATATTCCTAATTGGTCCTTTTTCGTTACAAAATTAACGGTAGTTTGAGCTGGATGTTAGTCTATTGTTTGAAATATAATAGTCGTTTGAGATTTTTGGGATTTATCATATCTCAGACAACATATTAACATCTAGCTCAGACCGTCGTCAATTTTTTAACAGGAAATGACGAATATTGAACATAATGAATAGTCGGGTGATTATTTTGTAACTTTTAATATTCGGAGGACTCAACAAAGTAACATCATATAGTTGAGAGACTATTTTGTAATCTTTGCTAGTCAGGTACTTAACAAAGCAACACCCTATAGTTAAGCGACTATTTGTATACTTTACCCTAATAATAAATGTAAGAAAATTGTAAAATTGGAAATCCCATAATTTAATGTTAAAAAGTTATTTTGAAAAAAAATTACGAGCATGAGAAGAGAAAATTTACTATGTTAAAAAATATAGGATTTAATCAACTTACTTTTAAATTATAATATCTAGTGTCTGTTCGCGGGATAAGTTTTTGTTTACAAAATAGATTCACTCAAACTGAATTTCCTACTCTTCTTCTAAGTACGGATGGGCATGGGTCGGGTTTTTGGTCCACCCGACCCAACTCGACCCGAGAACAAGGGAGCTTCCACCTGAGATTCGATTCGACCAAAACAATGTTTCACCCGACTCAAATATATGACTTAGAAACTCGACCGACCCGAAAATAAAAAAAAATTATTCAATAAAAACAATGACTTAATTGAAAAAAATATATAAAGGGGTATTATTGTAATTATTCCTAAATATATAAGGTAAAATTATATATTTTTCTAGGTCGGGTCGGGTATTTTTCACCCTAAACCCGAACCCGACCCGGCCCGAATATTACACTTAAAAAAACCCGACCCCACCCCGAATTTTTTTAAAAAAATCAGACCCGCTCTGCTCGGGTTAGGGTTGAGTGCCCATCCCTACTTCTAAGTGCAAAGAATAAAGTAACTTTTTTACGAATATAACTTCTCCAGTTGATCTAGTAAGATGAGGTACTAGGTCCCTTAAGCAAGGTAAGGGTTTCGAATCCTGGCGTTTACGAATGGAGGAAACTGAGTTGGGAGGGTCGCCCTCGCCTCTGCAGTACCCGATCTGGATTAGTCGGTCAATAGATCGAATACCATTGATTAATTAAAAAAAAGTAAATTTCTTTCTAACTATCTCGGACCCAATAAAAAAATCTAAATCACACAACTATAATAATCTTACAAATTAGTCACCAAATGCTATAGTTTGAGCATAAAATATTACTGCCATGTGCATGTGAGAATACCTTCTTTTTTACAGGGCATCGAGGAGCCATCGAACACTTGAAATAAGCTCGTGGGGATGGATTATTTTTGGTATCTTTCTGTCCATATTTCCTCCATTGATATCCATCTTTAACTACCTAAAATCATAATTACATTTAAATTTAGTCACTATATACAATTATACATATAATATTCACTTGTCGAAGACATTTTATCGTATTGAACTCGTATTCATGTTAAAAACACATTCAGAACAAAAAAATGTTAATGCTTCAAAAAAATTTAGGTACAAATAAGTACCTAAAGTATATTATTTTTTTTATCTTGATCAAAATAAGCACCTAAAATTATAATTTTGGTCAAAATAGATCTCTATCTAAGTACCTAAAGTATTCTTTAATTAATGTCACATGTCAACTTTTTTAGAATTTAGATGAAAATTTTAAATTGTTTAGGTACCTATTTGACTAAAATGATAACTTTAGATATTTATTTTGACCATAAAATATTTTAGGTATTTAAATGAAAAAGAAAGTATAATATCTTAGGTATATGTTTGTGATATAAGCAAAATATTTAATATTATTACATGCAGGGACGAATATACGTTGGGGGTGAGAGTAATTGTCCTCCAACTTTGATGATTTAATTTATCTTAGGTCACTAATATTTTTGAAATACAATTAAGTCATAGTTTCTGCAACTGAACCTCCGGTCTTAGGCCCGTGAAGCCTCGGCGGATCGCCGGAGATGGCGAGCTCGATTCCCGGACATAGGCTTCATGAAGCATGTTGGACTTGCTGCTCATTACTTCAAACATTAATCTAAGAGCTTCGTTCTCTTTCTGCAACTTTTCCAACCCTTCCCGAAGAGTTTCCACCTGAAAATTTTCATCTTTTAATGCCTCAAGTTTCTTGTTCGTGGAACAACTAAAAGAACAAGAAGAAGAAGATGATGACGACACCTTTTGTTTAGGGTTCGGAGCATCCATGAAAGTAGGCAGGAAATTGTTGAAATCATGGTCATGAGAATTTAATAGATTCTCCATAGGAAGCAACTTTCACGAACAATGGGAATTGGGAATCGTCATCTGCATGAAGTTCGTTCGGATGACATAAGCAGCGGCTGATCCATCCATAGTTCAAAGTGTATACGTGTTCATTTTAAAATCTGAATTTTTTTTTATTTTATTATTTTTTTTATTTTTATTTATTTAAACTACGTATAAAAAGTTTAAATTATTAATATATATATATTCGTTCTCGAAAATATTTTTAGATCCGGTAATCAATTTAGGGTTTACCATCCTTGTACTGTCACGATCTTGGTTTATTGTGGGGCGTCCCTACGCGTTAGTGGAGGTCGACAAATTCGTGGACTTGGGTCTTTGACGGTGTTTGTTTCTCGAGAAAAAAACTGAAATAGATCGATCATAATTACATCAACATGACGAATAATAAGAATGTCATGGTGCTTCCATATGAAAGAGATAAGACGGCCTACAATGTGAACGGCTCTAATCTAGAACAACGTGAAGCAACCTAGCAATTTACATCAAACGTTTTAAAACTAATTATGTTAAATTTTAAAAGAACTTCGAATATCTCGAGTCTCTTCCGCTATTGATCTTTAATGTAAAAAACTCGATATATTCGAAGTTCTTTTAAAATATTTTAGAATTTATTTAAAGATAATTTCATTTTTCTTTCGCTTGATTACAATTCTTTGATATGATTGTTGTCAATCATATTATTAATTAAACCTACTCTCTCTAACAATCATATTTATCTACCTATTAATAGTCATCAAATCTCAGGGTCGACACTAATAGAGATGAGAAACAGGTGGGTCGGGTGCGGATACCTCCTTCCCTATCCTCATACCCACCTAATATTTTCAAATACACTACCCGCCCACCACCCATGATGGGTAAAAATTTTCAAATCCATACCCGCCATGCGGGTATATTCTCAAATACATCCCCACACTCACTACCCAACTAGAGACGTATCTGGCTAGACCCATCTGACAACAAACTTAAGTTATACATAAGCAACAAACATAAAACAAACACGTCCATTAAGAAACATAATATTAGTCTCTAAAATTATACCTAATATTTGGTTAAATTATATGTTATATCTTATACAATATTAAGATTATAAATTAGTCTCTAAAATTATACCTAAATTCATAATGATAAAAAATTTAATGGGTATTTAGTGGGTGGGCGGATGTGGGGCGGGTAAGGTCTCAAATCGATCACCCGTCCACTACCCGCGACAGGTACCACTTTCTAAATCAACACCCGTCCACTACCCACTAAAGTTATACCTATCTCCGCCCCAATTGAAGCGGGTACGGTGCGAAATCCACGAAATTATACATGTTTGCCATCCCTAGACACTAATGACCCTATTATCTTGTGTCAATGACATTTATACCCTCACGTATAAAATTGAAATAAAAGATTTCGACTCCGTATTCATCGTTCATCTTCCTCTTCAATAATTTTCTATTTTTTAAAATTAAATATCAGTGATTTTTTTTATCAAATTAAAAAATAAATGGTCTAAAATTATTATTTTTTTTACTCAGAGTATCAATAATTTTTCAAATTTGTTTGTATATGCTACCATTTTCATTAATTTTTATTTTTCCAACATTAAAAAATATATAATGACTCAATTGTCCAACAACATGATGTTGTAAAGTTAATTTAAAAGCAGAATAAAGTGGTGAAGTATGAATATTATTTATAAAAGGCAGCTTAGAAATAAGGTAAAGATGAAGGGACCAAAAATAAAGTGGATATTGTTTCTTAAAAGTAAATTTGAATTAACAAAATTAAACTTTTCTATGTTCAAGAAAAGTACAAATTATATTTTTTTTCATGCCAATTAACCCAATTTCAATGCTGACTAATTCTTTTGAACAAATTGAATTTGTGGACTAAATTGTCTACAAATTATGATATTTTCTACCATTACTCAATAATTCTTTCAAATAAATAAGACTCTTAAGCTATAAAATTACAAACTATAACAGTAGAAAATGTTATTTGGATATGAGTCCTCGATGACACGTGTCACGTTCTAGTAATTTTAAAATTTTCATTTAAAATTAAAAAATTAAAACTATATATAAAACACACACAAAAATCGGAATAGTCCCAAAACTTTGAATACCCTCATTTTAACCCCTAAACTCATGTTTATTACTGCCTTTTGTTGTCGGCAAAGCTCCACCTGACCTCACCTCCCCCCGATGACCAATAACCCTATGAAATCACAACCAATCGACATTTGTACCCTACAAACCCTATCCTAAATTTACGACCCCACACGATCCCAACGACTAATCAAGGGAAATTATGACAATATATTACTAGAAAGATGGTAGGGATTAAGTCAACGGCGGTGGTCGTGATCGGCAAGGGTGATGTTGGTGGGTTATGGTTAGGGATTTAGGATTTTTAGAAATTTTGGTTTTTTTGTAATTTAAAAGAAATTATGATTTTTTATAAATATAATAATATTTTTAAAATTTTCAAAAAAATCAAAATTACCATAATGTTATACGTGTCACTTAACAGAGAAATTTAATGACAATTATGACTCGAGCATCTAAAGTGGGAACTTTTTTAAAGTTAGACATATGGATGATTAAAAAATACACTTATTTGAGAAAAAAATGTAACACTCATAAGTCATAACCCGTATATGTATGCTAATATGAATTATAGATATCACATTAATTATTTAAAACATTAACCAACTCAAGCGTGATATAAAAAAATAATCCCTTTTAATTTCTAAATCGTAATCATTATTATGAAATATTAATTTATATAAAGGTTCATAAACTTTTCTTAATTTTATACTTTGAAAACTAAACTTTCAAACCTTATGTTTTGGTCATTTAAATCAGGGAAGGTTTTCTTTCACATAAAGCATTTCATTTCATGGGCTTTAATCTCATTTCTTTCGATGTTTTCTCAACTTGATCTCAATATTAGGGAAGGTTTTCTTTCACGTAAAGCATTTCATTTCATGGGCTTTAATCTCATTTCTTTCGATGTTTTCTCAACTTGATCTCAATATTATCCATTCAGTTAGTGAATCTGCGATGTTATCTTTTGATCTTACAAATTCAACAGTGATAACTCCATTGACGATCAGTTGTCTAATAGTTTTGTGTTGATGTATATATCTCAACTTACCATTATACATAAAATCATCTCTGTACCAATATATGAATATTATGGGCTCAAACTTCGAATATTCAAGAATATCCTCCAAGAAATTCTAAAGTCATTCAATTTATTTTCTAGACTAGTCTAAAGCTACAAAAAATCACTTTCCACCTTTTCTCTTTTCACCTTTTCCCTTGCAAATTCTTAAAAATTGCAATTTAGTAACTAAATTTTTCAATTTCAGCTAAATATGTAAAATCGACTTCAATTCCAATGATCCGCATTAAATTTCACTTTTATAAAATTTGGAAAAATATTTTGAACCTTTATCTATCATCCTTCAAATTTTCGTAAAATTTCAGTTTGATCTGATTATCCGATTTTCTTTCAGACTTTACTGTTTTATAGCTTTTAACACAAATTCTGCATCAAAATTTTGATTCCCATGAACACGTAATTCTTGGGGTTGAATTATTCATTTACGGGTTCAAAAAACCTAAGTTTTAAAAATTACCCTTTTGGTCCTTGAACTTTTCCAACTTTCTATTTTAGCCACTAAACTTTCAATATTTATATTTTTGTCACTAACTAAAATTTGGGGTATTACATCATGTCACTTGACACAATTTAGGTTCAAGAAAATTTCATCTGAATTGAAACTCAATTTGATTTTTTTAAATAGGAATATGTATTGCAGTCGACAAGATACAAAACAACGATCGTAACTTCACATTACGATTACCATTTCACCACTTTTCCATCCTATTTTGGTCTGCAATTCTCCCCAAAATGGCCTCCGCAAGCGCTGCCGTGAAATTCGGGTTTCTTGTCAAAGAAGCCTCCATTTGTTGGACTAGAATTTGTTGTATCGTAGGTACATCGGTTTCTCCGGCTAGCTTTTTGGCACCACCGCCATGTCCGTCCGGTTGCATCAGATCAAGAGTTCCGGTGAGAGCTGAAGGCTTGGTTGGGGCAGAAGAAGCAGGCGCTGAACGAATGTTGGGGCTTGATATTAGTACTTCACCGGGAGAAGGATGTGCATGGGGAGAAGGTTGTGCATGGTTGTGCACTCCTTCGTAAGTAGCCACCAAGAACGATGGATCTTCAACACTTCTTTGCACCTAAAAAGGGCCAACCAAGATCATAAACGTAATATTTCAATTTTTAGTGATAATGGTCACTGTTGTATCAAATTCGTTAATTAATTAATAACTAACATATGTTGCTAACGTCATATTTTCACATAAGTTAATTAATTATTGACATCGTACTATGTCTTCCAAGATGATGACGTGATATATGCCACGTCACCCAAATTGATGACATGGCATGTGATGTGATACATTAACACTTAAGTACATATGAAAATACTATATCGATAACATGCGTTAATAGTTAGTTAACTAACTTTGTTTATCTCATATAAGTTATTTTTACCAAAAATTAAAATGTTGGGACTCAAACCTAGGACTAGAGGTAGATGCACAAACCCCATAAGGGTCAAGTATATATCCCTATTATTTTAAAAAAAATGATTAAATTTTGTTTAATGTGTTAAAAGAAAATAAAAAAAAGTGCATACCCGAAAGAATATTAAAATTTTAAACTTCATTTTTTAATTTTTTAATTCCGTCACTACCTATGACATCTACGAATAATAATCATTGATTACTTAGTTCGTACCACTCACCTTTTTCTTGACCGGACAAGTTGGGGAAGAAGAGCATTTGAAGTATGCTCTAGGAGATGGGTTATCTTTGGTGACCTTCTGACCATATTTTCTCCATTGATATCCATCTTTCACGATCTACAACACAGACGAACACAAAAAATACTCAGATCTGTACCCACAAAACACAATCCGGCAAAGCAATAATTAGGTCAAGAACCCTACCATGCTGTGATCAGAAAGATTTGTACGGACGTAAGCAGTTGAAATCTTGGTATGAATGTACTCCCTGTGCTTTTTAAACGCATCTTCGTCACCGTTGCTGCTCTCTTCACACTGGGATTTCCTCTTCTTCGACGCCGGTGATTCATTTTCCATGACCAATTCGATGAACTTGTCCTGCAGATCCTTGTAGTGGTGGCTCAGGACCGCTAGCATCTCGGTTAGCTTCTTGTTCTCGGCGCTGACCCGATTCAGTTCCTCCACCAAAACTCCGTCCTGTTTCATGTATAATCGTGTGAGGGAAATGAAAGAATTGTTCGTACTCGATAGAAAAAAAAATGAAATGGATCATCTGAACTCACCACGTTTGGTTGATGGAAAGGGTTGAGGTTGAGGTCCAGTGTAGTATCCACCCAAGCTGATGATTCCATCACTGAGATTGAATCGAAGAAACAAAAACAGACAAGAAAAGGGGAGATTTATTAAAGCCTGAAGCTGAAGAAATGATGAGGATCGTTCTCAAGACTAATATATATATATATATATATATATATATATGTTGCGTGTGTAAGATTGTATATAAAAAGGTGTTTTTGAGGGAAATTAAAATTCGGTAATGTCATGACATTGTTAATTATTTAATGTCATGACATTGTTAATTATTTAACAGTAGAGTGACAAGAAAGTTAAATCTATAAAGTTTATGAGTAAATTGAAAAATAAAAAATACGATGAGTAAAATATGAGATAAAGTAAAATTCAGTTACCAAACGTGTAATTTACCTAATAATATTTCACTTAACAATATTAAAAAATATAAATATTTTTTAAGGTAAACACCTAAAAGTAAAACAAAAAATATTATATACTTATTTTTATCGAAAATTTCTTAAAAATTAAAAAAAAATATAATTTCAACACTTATTTCACGATTAGCCCTAACTACTATTGTGGTGATGATATGTGTTCAAAGAGATCGTCAAAGAAGGTTGGTCGTCGTATTGACTTTTATTTTATCTCATCGCTTCTCTTTCCACGTTTCTTCGTATGGTACACGTGTTATTTTCTTGAAAGGAAAATACAATTGGTCTAATAACATTTTTGAACCTCAAATGTTTTAGAAAAAGTCGTTTTAGTCTTTGCTTTTTCCTCCTCTTTTGATTTTTGGATTTTCAATTTTTATTATTTTAAATTATTTTCGATATTTTATCTATAGAAAAATATTTATGTCAATATTAATAAAAAAGATTATATAATCTATCAACAACTAGTTGGTCTAGTAGGATAAGATATTAAATTTTTTAAGTGAAGTCAGGGATTCGAATACTGACCATTGCGAATAGAGTATTGGATTGAGAGAATTGTCTTTGCCTATGTAATATTCGATTCGAATCAATCGATTAATCGATAGGATAAAGAGGACATAGTCAATCCACGGTCTTAATTAATAATGGATGAAGAGCACAAGGAAAATGCAGTACGGAATCAGTCAGACCACCTAATACCCAAACTTTAAACAGAAAGAAACATGCGAAGTTGCTGCTGGTTAATTTTCCTCTTTGTAATTTTTTAGGGTAAATTACATATTTAGTATTTAAACTATTAATTTTTCTTCGTTTACCTTTTTTAAAAATCATACCTAACGTTTAATTTTAATTTTATTTTAGTATAGAGCCATTAGAAACTTAAGGTGTTTAGTATCTAAACTATCAATTTTGGCCCGTCTTAATATCTAAACTATATCAATTATGGTATTTTTGTACCTGTTAAATTTTGAACGGGATACTAAAATGAAATAAAGTTTTTAACGACCTGGTACTAATATAAAACAAAAACTAAATTTTAGGTATAATTTAAAAAATTAAAAGTTTAAGTATTAAAACAAACCAAAACTGATAGTTTAAATATTAGACACATAATTTACCCTAAAATATATTGTATATGTCCTTAAATATTGTTTTGTAATCTTTCGATTATGAAAATAGTATGAGAGCATCTTTTCAGTTAAAGAATATTCACACAACCATATGAATAATTTAAAATGGACCTACAAAGAATTACAAATGAAGTCGTTAAAATAAAGTTTTTAACGATCGGGTACTAAAATAAAATAAAGATTAAATTAATTTTTTTCAAAAAGTATAGGGACATATTTTTTTATAAAAAAAAAAACTTATATATAATTTTAATATTGATAATATAAACTTTATAGCACGTCAATGTCAATATGAATATGAATTTTTAACTATCCACATAAACTTTAGTCAAAGTCATCTATTTCAATAATGAGCTTTTTGGTAATTGCTCGTTTTCCCATTGCCAGTCAGCAACATGACGTGTACAACCTGACGTAAATATCATTACCGACTATTAATTAATTTACATAGTTGATGAGAGTCGTTTTTTATTCATTTGGGCAAACTCCATTTAATTATGAAGATATTGTAAACTAATCATTGATCTTTTCATTTGAGGGTAAATTTCGAGTTTAGTGTTTAAACTATCAGTTTCGGTTCGTTTTTTTTAAGTTTTGAAAAAAATTGAAAGTTTAGGTGATGAAATGGACCAAAGTTGATAGTTTAGGTATTAAACGCGTTAAGTTTTTTACGGTAGTATACTAAAATGAAACAAAAACTAAATGTTATGTATGATTTAGAAAAAAAAATGAAAATTCAAATACTAAACGGACCAAAACTGATAGTTTATGTGTAAGATGCATAGTTTATCCTTAATTTTATCAATTAAATTGTTTAATTATTTAAGTAATGTTAATCAAGCCACTTTGTTATTAACGTTGGATGAAAGAGGTGATGTGTCGATTAACAAAAATAGTATGATCACTCATTTGGTTCTCGTTTTTTATATATTTCTACTAGTATGATCATAACTCAATCAATTGAATTTATTAAATTAAATTAAATATTAAATTTACAAAATATTAAATAATTATGACAAAACGTATAAATATACCAATTTTATTAAATATTATATTAGCTCCTGCGTGGAATGTACAATTTTCTGAAAAAACTTTTTTCAGTGATAGACGAAGGCATTGAATAGTTCGTGATCTCTACAGCAGTGCAACTATAGCTGATCATCTAGTTGTTGTATCCTGAGAGACAGACGACCAACAATCTCAAGCACCATAGAAGTAGCCGAAAATCTGTCTTAAGAAAATTGTGTTAATCACCATGGAAACAAATTGTAAATCTATAAAATATTTGTTTTTTTGTTTTCTTTTCGTTTCAGATTGTTATACTTTTAACAATCTTAAGATAAATTCTTTCTTCTATCTTTTTTTAATTCGAGACGATTCAGAAATCCTGAAAAAAATCATAAAAAGAAAATAAATTCATTTTCGGGATTTATTTTGTCGTTTTAATAAGTTTGCTGAAAGTTGACAAATCTATTTAAATATAAACCGTCGTTAAAGTAACGTTGATTACTAATTTTTTAGAATGTTGATTATGTAATAAAGAATGAATGTGATTATCAGCCTGGAAAATTCCATATGTGATCGTTGCCACGGGGTAGTTAAAGAATTTATATAATTCCTTTTATGTTATGGTATTATTCGATAACATCATTATGGTAAGATTTGACACATAAAAGTGCATGTAAGCCTTAATCATGATATTATTATTATGCTATTCTGAACCTATTATTTTTTATATTTTAATATGAAATATTAAATGTGTTATGAATAAAGAATATCTTAGTATTTATAATTATTATTATTATATATTATAATAATTATTTATTGTGTTTTGGAAGCACTACGAATGTTGTTATGTACTAATAATTTATTTTAAGAAATTTTATAGATACAAACTGATTCAGAGTTTAATCTAAAGCTTTTTGATTATTGGATTGTCAAAAGTAAAATCAAACGATTAGTTTATTTTGATTATTGGATTGTGAGAAGTAAAATCAAAGGATTAATTCCTTTTGATTTCCGTTTGTTAAACAGAAGTGGGTGCTCCGGTGGCGCCCAATCAGATCATTGGTAAGGGGCTGCAGAATGGAATCGTAGATGGGGATACTCATATGGGTGCTTGTAGTGAGAATACTCCATCGCCAGAGGTGATTTTATATGAGGGGATTGAGGTGGTTAAGGGCGGCAGCGATGGGGTACCCGATCCATCGAAAGGAATTGTCCAAGAACAGATGGGGGTAAAGGACGGAACGCACCAAGGGGAGAAGACGCCTGCACTGCCAACTGCCAACTCCATCTGGTATTAGATCCTTCTGTGATATGGTCAAGGGAACCGTTGCTGAAAGCAGTAGAATTAACCCGATCAATGACTTGAATGTGGACGTGCAACCATAAGATGTTTTCTCGGACACCGGAGGTAGTTTGCCTGCAATCAGATCCTCGGAAAAGGTACATAATTCTATTGACGCGAAATTGGCAAATTCGGTCATAGTTCGACTTCTGGGGAAAACGATAGGATATAAAGCTTTGCTTAACCTTATCAATATATTTCAAGTAAAGATTAAAACAAAATGGCATTCAACAGAAGATAAAACCAAATTAGTCTATAAAAGCAGCTCTTCTTTTTTTATCATAAAGTAAAAAGGCCAACCCCATTGTATGTAAAAGCTGCACCTTAAATAGCATGAGTTTGATTTTAGCCCAAAAAGACTAAAAAACTAGAAACTGTAACTGTGAATGTTTGCTAGGCATTTGTAAGCCTAAAAACTAAAAAGTCCATACCAGAATGCATGGATGGCTAGCTGTGAACGCAGCATGTCAAAGGCTGCAAAAAAAAAAAAATTGGGTTCAGCCAAAGTTCCACATTGGACAAGATTCAGCCCTTGCCCTGGCTAGGACTCGGCAGTTGAAGTGGCTTTCACCTCTTTTCGCTGCTTCTTTTCTGGCTTGGGATCGGTTCCCGGTCCCATAGAAGAAGTCAGTTCTTTCCGCTTAAGAGTTTCCACAACCTCAGCTGGGACAGTTGGGTTCTCTTTCATGCTCTCGCTTTCTTTCACCTTGGTTGAACTGGATTTCGACTTGCCGCCACCATTTGCATCTGATTTGCCACCGATTTTAAGAGGCTTGCCCTTGGAATGGGAGGGAACTTTGGGGGTGTCCTGCTTGGACTTGGTTGTCTTTGTGGTGTCTTGCTTCGGCTTTGGGGTAGCTTTCGCGTTTTCATCATCCTTGGGATTAGTAGACTTGGGGGTGTCGACAATGTCCTCAGTTTCGGATTTGCTTCCCGCTTCTGAAGCAACGTCAACTGGTCCACTAACACTTTCAGGGGTATGATCCTTGGCTTTGGTAACATTGTCGCCATCCTCGGGTTTGGTTGACTTGGGTGTGACGACACTGTCCTTAGTTTTGGATTTGCTGCCCGCTTTTAAAGCAAGGACAACTGGTCCAATACCACTTTTACGGGCATTAACCTTAGATTTGGTAACATTGTCGCCATCCTTCGGTTTGTCATCAGCCTTGGGTTTGGTTGACTTAGGCCTGTCAACACTGCCCTCAGTTTTGGATTTCCTGCCCAATTCTGCAGCAACTTCAACTGGTCTCCTACCACTTTTAGAGGTATGATCCTTGGCTTTGGTAACATTGTCACCATCCTTGGGTTTGTCTCCGTCCTTGGGTTTGGTTGGCTTGGTAGTGTTGACGCCATCCTCAGTTTTGGATTTGCTTCCCACTTCTGAAGCAACATCGATTCGTACATTACCACTTTTAGGGGTATGATCCTTGGCTTTGGTAGCAATGTCACCATCCTTGGGTTTGGTTGAGTTGGGTGTGTCGACACCGTCCTCAGTTTTGGATTTGCTGCCCACTTCTGAAGCAACAACATCAACTGGTATACTACCACTTTTAGGGGTATGATCCTTGGCTTTGGTAGCATTGTCACCATCCTTGGGTTTAATAGACTTGGGTGTGTCGACACTAGCCTCAATTTTGGATTTGCTGCTCACTTTTGAGCCAATGTCAACTGGTCTACTTGCAGTTTTAGGAGTATGATCCTTGGCTTTGGTAACAATGTCTGATTTATCGACATTCTTGGAGCCACCCACTTTGCCATCTTTTATTTTGCTACCAGACTTCATGGCAGCACCCTTGGATTTTCTGGACGAAGCTCCTCCACCCCTGTACATTCAATTCTGAGATATTCAGAAATCAGGGATAGAATAGTAGCAAAGAATTTCGTTCGAAGAATTTAATAACCTTTTTGGCGAAGCATCCATCTTGGCTTTCTTCACCAGCTGATCAGCAGCTTTCACTTTCTTCTTTTGAGAGCTGTTAATGGAAATGGAAACAAAGAGAAAAAGACAATAAGCCCACAGAAGATATCGGGCAGGAATAGACCAAGAAACGAACAAGCAAATTCAAAGCTAGTATTGCTAAATTTCAGAAGATGTATCAACTTAAATTGCACAAAAACCAAGCAGAGTTTCATCATGCAAAGTCAAAATACATAATGAAACTATCTATGACCATCATTCATTGTGGTTCAATTAACTTTAGCAATCAAGAATCACAAAAGGAACCTACATTTCGAACGAATCATCTGGACTTGGACGATATGCTGCAACCTCCTGTTTCAATAAAATATTAGCAATCTAGAACACCAATCAAATAAAAGCTTGTAATATATATTAATTAGGAAAACTGTCCACCTCATTCGACTCGGACTCATCTTTGATCACCTCCCACTTTTCCTCCTTGAGATTCAAAATTTCTACATCACCATCTTCATAGCACACCTATAGACGGGAAATGAAATTTTTTAAAATTTCTAGCATGAACAGTCAAGAGAATATGCAAAACATGAAAGGAAGTTTTTATCTCAATTGATGTGTCAACCTTGTGCTTCTTTATAACAGCATCAAATGACTCGATAACACCGTCATAGAATCTGCAAAAGAATAACACCCGTAAGGGGAGAAAGAAACTGAACCTTAATCAAGTAGGAAAAAAATCTCATATCTATGTACATTTACAAGACTAAGTTCCTTGACAAAAGTTAGACCAGCCAAAGACTTGATAAATCTTAATACAAATATGACTTGATTAAAAAGTAATTAACCCTACAGGAAAAACTTTGACAAGTAACAAATAAATAAGCATGTGGCACTTAAGACTCGTCATTCAAAATAATCAAGTAATTTACCTTTCAGGTACATGTTATTTACTTTTTCTACTAAGCATCCAGCATAATCAATTGATAGTAAGTGAAGAGGCCCAACAGAAATATAAGACAATAAGAAACCTAGTCCTTATAGAGGTGGGGTAATACCGTTTCATACACTTAAGTCTCACATTTGCACCACACATTAGAAAGAAAACACTTTCAATTAATTATTTTCTTTTCCTTGGAGAAAATATAAGTTGTGTGTGTGTGAGAACATGGTAATAGAAGAAGGTTATAAACTGGTACGGGAAAGATATTCACACGTATAAGAGAAAAGATCAAACAAATAATATTCCATGGTTTCTATTTTTAGAGTATCGCCTCTATAATACTTGTAAGTAGAGCATGGAAACAAAGAAATATATATACTTACGCATGGTCTAGAGGCCACCAGACCTTCACCTTCAAGCCAACTAGATTCTCATCATATTCTAAGGTATCAGATCCCTGACAAAGAATCAAAATGAAATATAAATTATTGTGTCCAGAAGAAGGATATGTGATATCGTTGCTTCAACTAGTTTCAAATTGGAGATTGCATGAACGGAGTCAGGCAAAAGGTTTACGATACTTCATAGAGAATTATATGATCCTCTATTTCCATAATGAAATAAAAGGGACTAGCTATGATCTCAAGAAACAGCAAAAGGAAATATAGAAGTTAGCAACATGACACATAAAAGTCGAAGACAAATGCAGCCTCAACAGTCTTGTACCTACAGACACTTACTTTTTCTTCACTTTGTGTATGCTTTCTCTTGGAATTTGTCTTAGGAATCTCATCCATGCGAGAAACATGTTTGTTCGGCTTCACTGCCTTTGGAGAATCAACCATTTCCTGAATAAACGACAAGACAACAATTATTCCCATTATTGAAGTAAATGATAAAGCTTTAAATAAGCAACTTTAATAGAATATAATTTACAACTTAGAAAGCCAAAAGGTAACCACCTCATCGTCAATACTGGTTGAGATTTTGGTTCTATCCTTCTCAGGAAGAACAAGTTTTCGCCGCTTTTTCTTATCCCCCATTTTCTTTGAGGATCCATATGCATTATTACTACTAGAATCCAGCTTCTTTGACACCTGCTTCAGTGTTTTTTCCTCCGAATCACTTGCAGTGCCACTTTCCTTCTTAGTTTTATCTACATCGACTAGAGCAGTGTCCTTGTTCAAAACTGCAGAAGCAACCTTTTTCCCGGGTCGTTTATTTGTTTTGTCTTCTGAATCACTCATTGCTCCAGATGACATCTTGAAGGCATTGTCAACAGAAGGTGTGATCTTGCTCAAGCCATCTTTCTTTTTTGGCTGAGCTGCCTTGTTTGAATGGCTCTTATCATATATGGTCCCACTTGGCGCTGGGGAAGCAACATCATTGGATTCATCCTCAGTTGCTTTTGTCAGGGAAGGCTGAACATCTTTCTGTCTTTTATTTTCGTTGGATACAGCCCCATCAACAGAGGGATCCTCAGAAGGTGGATGAACATCATCCTTGCTGTCATCTTTCTGACCTGTTAAGGTCTCAACTTCCTTACCATCAACATGAATGCTGTCAGAAGGTTCTGTTGATTTTGAATGGGATTTACCCTGTTTTTCCTTGGTACTTTGTTCCAACTTAGAATCTGGAATTACCACTTTCTCACCTTCCAATCCATCAGGCTCAGCAACAGTTGACTTGTCAACATTCTCAGACTCATCAGCAAAGCAGTCATCCTCTTGCTTCTTTAAGGAGTTTGAATCAGGCAGTGAATTGTTTTCATCAGTTTGAGCAATGCCATAACTAACAACTGAAGTTGGAGATTTTTCATTTGCATGATCAACTTGTTCAGTTAAAACTGATTCTTTAGGAATCTCTTTGCCCTCCTGCATAGGATTTGCGGATTCATAAATGACTTATTTCAAGTACCAAATTCTAATAGCAAAATTGGAATACAATAAAAAAAGGAAGCACTTGAATCCACTCAAACACACACACGCTCATAAAACATACATAAATATAAGAAACATGCCTGGATTGCAGTGTCCAAAGGTGGCTCCGTTGGTTTGCTCTCAACATCCTACAGAAAATTAACCCCAAAAAGGATCAATAACAAAGTACTGTACAAAATTAAATAAACAACTCTAAACCTTATATAATCAAATAGCACCTAATCTATCTGCAAACAATATAGACATACAGAACCAGAAAAAAATATGCCTTAACAAATTGCCCTCAAACAAAAAGAATTTATGGAATTATATTCAGATGCAAATGAGATAATTACCACACGTTTTTCAGTAGCAGCATCATTCTGCACAACAGCATTGGGTGCCACTTGGCATATAGAAGCTACTACAGTACTATAATCCTCAAAAGGAATTCCTGAGTTCTCTACAGCTTGTGTTAGGTAAGGTTTCAGCTTTGATGCACATTTTTCAAGCACACTGCTCGCCAGCCTCCGAGCCATTGGAAGAACCTCCTGAGAGAAAATAGATGCCATACGTGAACTAAACGAGTATGAAGAAGAGAACAGGTAAAAAATGACATATATGGTAACAGACCTCATCATCTCTCTTTAACCTAGCTAAGATCGGGGAGAGCAGCTCCATAGAGATGTCTTCACTTTCTTCTAAAACAAGTGTCATAATTGTTACCATTGATGTAAAGACAGTATCCGCATGATAATCTCTGAAAAGCAAACAAAGAATCACAAGAAAAACAACGGTTCAGAATGCATATACAGGATAGCATACTAAACCACTTCTTCTTCTTTTTTCCTCTATTATAATAGCAATCTACTCTAGTAAAGCAGCCTTACAGAAAGACAAGGACAACAGGATGACAACTACTTTTTATTCTAGATAATGCAATAATTTTTTTCTTTATGGATAAGTTAATGCAATAATCTTGTGGAAAACTACAGCTTACAAATCACACAGAACTCGTAAGGTTGGAAATAATGTGAACAAGAGATTCATCTCTCCAATCAGGGACTTAGTTTGTACCTTATTGCATTAAGGAAATGCTGGAACATCTCAATGATTAAAGCATCACATTCAAGATCCAACATCACCACACACGATCTGACTTTGGCAACAGTTTCAAGAATTGAGGTCCTCTTAATATATGATCGACTCGACTTGTCAGACAAACTCTCAAATGATGATACGATCAGTTTAAAGACCTCCTGCATGCACATTAAGCATGATCAACACTTCCAGTGCAGAAAATGGGTAAAGATCATGAAATATGCAGAAAAAATGAATTCAAAGTACCCTCATTTGGTCATCAAGATAAGGAGCTTCTGGTGCAGTTATCCTTGTTATCTCGCTGATGCATGCAGCAACTGCAACTTTGACATCATCATCAGGATGTCTGAAAAGCTGCTCTGCAATCAATGCTTTAAGTGAATGACTGAGTGCATTCTGCATTGCTTGACCTGGTGATTGTTCCACCCTTGAAAGAAAACTCTCGACTTGCTATATTTGCAGAGGATAGAAAAAGCAAACAATCACCAATCAATGTAAAAAGTGGAAAACCAAACATAAGGCACAACCCAAGGAATACTATCATGCCTAAAAATTCAGATAATCAATTTGATCATTTCAGCTTCATTAGGAATTGCTTAAAAATTACCCATAAAGAATAAAATTCTACAAAATGAAACAGGTTTAATACATAATACAGTCAACTGCAAAGGTATAATTAACAGTGAGCGAAAGAAACAACTATGCCCCATTCAAAATGTCTAATAGGGTATAGTTAACACATATGGACCAAAACATGAGCACGTGTAGATATACTCTAACTTAAATTCGCTCACACGATTACCTTTAAGAGGAATCAAGACCGTTACACTGTATATTACCAAAATGTGCAAACTTTTAGACACACACAAACCTAAATGCAGTTTGTGTGGTTCCCTTTAGGAGGAATCAAGACCGTTACGTCGTATATTGACAAAAACATGCACACTTGTAGATACACACTTACTTAAATGCAGTTCACGTGATTTCCTTCAGGAGGAATCAAGACCGTTACGCCGTATATTAACAAAAATGCACACACTTGTAGATGCACACTCACTTAAATGCAGCCTGCGAGATTCCATTTAGGAAGAATCAAGACAGTTAGGCTGCATATAGACAGAAAAAAAACCCGCGCGTGTAGACACACACTCACTTCAATGTCGCTCGCGCACAATTTTAAATCTGAAGAATCAAGACCGTTAGACCGCATATAGACACCCCCTCACTTCAATGACGCTCGCGCGCATTTTTAAAACTGAAGAATCAAGACCGTTAGGCCGCATATAGACAAACACTCACTTTAATGTCGCTCGCGCACATTTTTAAAACTGAAGAATCAAGACCGTTAGGCCGCATATAGACAAACACTCACTTCAATGTCGCTCGCGCGCATTTTTAAAACTGAAGAATCAAGACCGTTAGGCCGCATATAGACAAACACTCACTTCAATGTCACTCGCGTGCATTTTTAAATCCGAAGAATCAAGACCGTTAGGCGGCATATAAACAAAAACAACCACAGGCACGTAGATACATGTTCGCTTCAATGCCATTCGCGCCATTGACTTGCGTTTTTAAATCTAAAAGAATCTCAAAACTGCAAACCATTTCAGCCAAATACTTGCTACTGCATAGCATTTGCACTCAAATACACACAGCATTCCAGCACTGAATCCATGGGAAAGCAAAATCATTTCACGTATCAGATTTTTGAAAAATTCAAATCCACAGTACATCTTTTAAAAAAAGATATAAATTGGCTACCCCCAGACAGAAGTATAACTGAACACCAGTTAGAACTCACTTTTGAAATCATTCAAGATGACAAAGTAACGGCAGAAGCATAATTGAACACACGAATAAATCCAAAACAAACAAAAAGTGGGGGAAAAGAAACCTTAAGGACAAAGGAAAACGCAGAACACGATGAGGAAAATCCGAAAATGCAGATTACTCCGATTTCAGAAAACCCAAATTTTTCCACCAAAAAAAAACGAAACCAACATGCACACTACAAAAACGAGGAATGAAACGAAAACAAGTAAAAAAGAAGACCGCTAGGGCTTACATCGAGGAGATTGATGAGCTCATCAACAGACGAGACAGGTTCAAGGAGCTTGTTTCCGGCCTCCATTAACTTCAGCTCGAGCTCCTTATCAGAAGACTCCATAGCTTTCTTCCTCCTACGAGCAAAAGTAAGCATGTACCTAAACAAACAAACAAAGAGCCAAACAGTTCAAAATCAGTGTCCGGAGACCACCATTGAAAAAGCTCGAAACCGAAACCAGAACAGACGAATTCGGGTGGAGATGAAGACTTAGGGTTTCTCGGTTCCTTCCCGGTGGTAGCTGAATTAGCGAATCAAGAAACCTTTCGAAGACGAGGATCAGCAGTGTCAGAGGAATAAGAGAATATTTTTTTTATACTTTTAAATCTCTCAGTCTCTCTGTGTCCGGACATTCTTTGTGCAAGTGTTTGTTTGGTATTTAAAGGGGGGAGAGAATCCAGCGAGCTTGTGCTCGGATTCCGCCTTGCTTTATAAACTGGATTTTATATTACGGCTTCAAATCCTCCCTTTGGATTTTCGGCATGTGGGGTCCACCTAGTTTTTGTTTGGATTAATATCATTTTAGGTGCCTACACTATACCTCAAATAGACTTTTGGTGCCCAGTGTTGTTTCGGTTACACTTTTAGTTCTCTATTAAGTAAAATGTGTCACGTTCATATTTTTTAAAAAATATTTTTTAAAATATATAAAAAAAAGTTACTTAAAGAATTTTTTTACCGATATGACCTAAAAATATAATTGAGAAAATATTAGGCACTTAAAAGTTATTAAGCCTTTTTTTCCTAGGGCCACCTGATTTCCCCCCTTTTTCTTTTCCCTCTATGGAAATTCAGTAACGGCTAAAAAATACAACTAAGCGCTGATGCGTGATATACCATTTATTTACCATTGAGATAACCATATTTTTCAAAAAAAAAAAATATTACAATTTTGTTGCCTTTGGATAAGTTTGTAATAAATTTTAATTTCCCCACGTAATAATTTTAGTTATATAAATAGGAAACTTTAATTGTGTTTTTAATTATATGCCTAAAGCTTCTTACTATAATTTAATTATGTACATTTAAAGAAATAAATATCGTTCAAATGATGGAGGAGACTATAGACCTCTTAAATAAGGTTCAATATTCGAATCTCAATATTATAGATAAAGATAAAATGTACAAATAGTCTCGATTAATATGGTTCTACTTTGTTGAGTCCTACTATTGTTAAAAGTAAAAAATGGTATCCAACTATATGGCATCATTCGGTTGAACCCACCGACTACTCGTCATTTTCCGTTAAAAAATTGACGATCATTTAAGACGCAATGCTTACTATAATATGCAGGGGGCGCGTAGGATTTTATATTAGGAGATGAACTTCTAAAATTTTAGGAGATGACGAACATATAAAATTTCAAAGGGCGAAAACAATTTTTCAATAGAAAATACATATGGTAATTTTGAATTTTCAAGGGGGAGACTACCCCCATCCTTCCCCCTCGGTCCATCCCTGGTAATATGATAAAATAATATTTTAATTGTCACTATTGGAACTATTGTTACCTTTAAGCATTGGCTCGACAACATAATATTTCTATAATTGACTAGACGACATAATATAAATGAAGAGTTGATCCACAAAATATAGCTCAAACGATTTCGGGATTAGATTTCATCATATCTCATTCAATAGGTTAACGTTCAGCTTAGACAATTGTCAGTTTTTTAATGAAAAATGAAGAGTTTAGAACATATGTATAGTCAAGTGACAATTTTGTAACTTTTAATAGTATTGAGACTCAATAAAGTAGTGTCCTATGGTCGGGGACCATTTTATAATTTTTAATAATCAGGATGCTCACTTTATAGTCAAAAGATCGTTTGTGTACTTTACCTATAAAATAAACTAAATTGATATTTTTTTTTATAGTCAGAAGATCTCTGTTCGATACGTGATCTAAATTTATCGATCGATAAATAAGATATTTTTTTATTATGTTTTTTCATTTAGTTAATCATGTATTTATCATGCAAGTGTTTGAGAAAAGATAATGATAAATTTGAGTCATAGTTTAAGAAAACTCAATATGATTAATTTTATATTTTAAATATACAATACCCTAAATTATAAAAAATATTAAAATCATTAAATTTTAATTTTCCACGTAAGAATTTTAGTTATATAAATAAGAAACTTTAATTGTGTTTTAATTATATGCCTAAATCTTCTTATTTTAATTTAATTATGTACATTTAACAAAATAAATATCATTTTCAATGATAGATGAGACGCCAAATCTCTTACACGATATTTGAATCTTAATATTGTAAATAAAATAAGGATAAAGTTCATGAATACTCCCCTAATTATAAGGTTATACTTTGATGAGTATCGTAACTACGAAAAGTTATAAAATGGTATCCAATTACATGTCATTACTTTGTTGAATCCTTTGGTTACTAAAAGTTATAAAATGGTCACTAAACTATTCATATATTCCAAACTCGTCTTTTTTCCATTAAAAAAAATTGACGATTGTCTGAACTGCATGTTAATCTATTGATTTGTGATATAATAAAATCATTTTTAAAGATGACTATTGGTAATGTCGTTGCTTTCAAGCATAGGTTCGATGACATAATATAAACGAAGAATTGATTTACAAAATACAACTCAAGCGGTTATGAGATTATATTTTATCACATCCCGCTCAACACGTTAATGTTCAGCTCAGATGATCCCCAATTTTTTTACGGAAAAAGACGGGCTTGGAACATATGAATAGTCGAGTGACTATTTTGTAACCTTTAATAGTCATTAAACTCAATAAAAGCAATGCATTGTAATCAGGAGACAATTTTATTACTTTTAATAATCGAGAGACTTAACAAAATAATATTCTATAGTCAGACGATCATTTATATGCTTTACTACCTATAAAATATTTATTCATATAACTAATTATTTGGTAAAATATTTATTTCTCAAAATAGTAATCAATAAATCATGTTATGGGTGAATCTTTAATAGTAGTTTAAAATATTTAATATTGTCCCATTATTCTTTATTTTTATGTTTGTTTTCTATCATTAGTCCATATATTTCATTGAGATCAATTTTATTTTTTTATACTATTAAATTTTAAAATTTCAATAATGATTTAAATGATATATGGGCAATACCCTAAATTATAAAAGCTTAAAATCATTAAATTGGAGAACATAAATTAAACCTATAACTTACATATAATGCTAATATGAACCATATACTTTGATTTAACATATTGATTTAATTATAAAATAAGTGCTCTTTTCACAAGTATGTGCCTAAATTATTTTTTAAACGATCTCGGTGCTTAACGTTACAAACGTTATCACTTAGGTGCTCGGGTCGTCAACAACGCTAATTCCATTCGTTAAATGACACTTGATACAATGTGATAATTTTATTTAAAATTTAAAAATGAAATTGTATTAAAAAACAACGAAATTTTGAAATAGCCACAAAACTTTGAAACCTTTATTTCAACCCCTAAACACAAACTAACCAACGCCCTTTATTGTCGATAAAACTCTACCCGATCTCACATCCTTCGGTGACCAAAACACCTATGAAATCGTGACCGATCGAAGGTAAATCGATGTTTCATATCCTGTGAACCCTATGATGAAAATCGGGATCCCCTACGATTCCGAAAGCTAATCTATGACAACTACAACGACATATGACTAGGAGAATGGCAATGACTATGTCGGCATCAATGGTCGTGGCCGTAAAAGGGAGGTGGCGATGGATTAGGGTTTGGGGAATTTTGTAATTTAAGAGGAATTAGGTTTTTATAAATATAATATTATTTTAAATATTATTTATTTTTTCAAAATTACCAGATTTTATCATGTGTCAATTAACAACACATACACCTAAAGTGATAACGTTTGGAACGTTAGGCATCAAAATCATTCAAAAAATAACTTAGACACCTATTCGTAAAAAAACACACTATAGTTTAGACACTTTTTTTTATATTTAAGCCTAACATATTTAATATGTACTGTCTGATTCAGAATAAAAGTTCTGGAATTTTAAAATTGTAAGGGTAAAAAAATACCCAAATTAGGACCCAAAGACTAAATCTAAAAATACAGGTATAGTACAGGGACTAGTAGATGAAGTTTCCCTTTGTACATGTCACAATCAAATTCAGCGTGCCCAAGATGACTTGGAAAAGTTAAAAGCTAAATACGACGGCGTACTGAAAACAACCATAACAAAAACAAGCAAATGGATTCAAAGTTAAAACCTTGTCCTCGTTGCCTTTTCTTTTCTTTCTCTGATTCGTTTACCCGAACCACTCGACTCAATCCACCACGACTCACTGAGTCACTGTTCGTGAAAGAAGCCTCTTTAGATCCGTTGCTTTCAGGCCTGATCTCACAATTCCAAGGTCAGATCTCTTCTCCTTCTTCGCTCTTCTCTCTAGGGTTTCATTTCCAACTCCCCGGTTTCCTTTTTCAGATCTGCTATCGAGATTGAAACGACGCATTTTTGAATCTCACGGATCTGCCTTTGGATTGGTCTACTGGAAATGTCGATTTTGGCCAAAGGTGATTCGGTTCATATTCGAGAAGTTTGGAACGATAATCTGGAAGAAGAGTTTGCTTTGATCCGTGAAATTATCGATACTTACAATTATGTAGCTATGGATTCCGAGTTCCCGGGTGTTGTTCTACGCCCTGTTGGAACTTTCAGGAATATAAACGATTATCACTACCAAACTTTGAAAGATAATGTGGATATGTTGAAATTGATCCAATTGGGTCTCACTTTCTCGGATGAGGATGGGAATCTTCCCACTTGTGGAACCGATGGCCTCTGCATTTGGCAATTCAATTTCCGCGAGTTTAACATCAGTGAGGATATCTTTGCTGGTGATTCGATCGAGTTGTTGCGCCAGTGTGGGATTGATTTTAAGAAGAACAATGAGAAGGGTATCGATGTGAAGCGGTTCGGCGAGCTTTTGATGTCGTCTGGGATTGTGTTGAATGATTCCGTGCATTGGGTCACCTTTCATAGCGGATATGATTTTGGGTATTTGCTTAAGCTTTTGACCTGCAGGAGCTTGCCCGAAACTCAAACCGGCTTCTTCGAGTTGATCAGCATGTACTTTCCCATGGTGTATGATATCAAGCATATGATGAAGTTCTGCAATAGCCTTCATGGTGGTTTGAACAAGCTCGCCGAGTTGTTGGAAGTGGAAAGAGTTGGTGTGTGCCATCAAGCCGGCTCGGATAGTTTGCTCACATCATGCACATTTAGGAAGTTGAGGGATAACTTTTTCATTGGCTCGACTGAGAAATATGCAGGTGTACTCTGCGGCTTAGGGATGGAGAGCGGACATAATACTAATTAGAAGAAGAGTCTGCAAAAAAGGATTGATAATAAATGTAGAGTACTCGAGTGTGATACTTAATTTTATTTGCATACATTGGCAAAAAAGATTGTTGATTTAGTTGTGACTTCTCTCTTTTGCTTGCATTGTAACCCTTAACTGGTTTTCAAGTTGATCACAACCAACGCGGCCGACAAATTCTCCGCCATCATCCTAGTTATACGCCACCATAATTGTTGTCATAATTGTTGTCGTAGACCGTCGAAATCGCGTGGGATCGTGAATTTCGTCCTAGGGTTTGCGGAGTTTAAAACGTTGATTGACCGTCAATTGATCGTAATTTCATAGGAGTATTGATCGCGCGGGTAGGTGAGGTCGGGTGGAGTCTCGTCGATGGCAAAGGACGACAATCAACGTGTGTTTAGAAGTTAAAATGAATGTTTTCAAAGTTTTTGGGCAATTTCGAAAATTTGTGTTTTTTTAAAATATAATTTTAGTTTTAAATAATTTTTTTAAAAATTAACAGAATGTGACAGATGTCACCTAACAGAGAAAATTAATGAATTTTATGATCCGAGCACTTAAAGTGGTAACGCCAGATACCGATATAATTCAAAAAATAATTTAAGTATCTATTTGTAAAAAAAACTCTATAGTTTAATCACTTATTTTATAATTAAGCCTTTAATATATTACTATCAGATGAAAAGACCATAAATCCCAAATAAATTTGTTGCCCTTAGTTACCATCAAAATAAACCTAACGCATGCTTATATTAATTTTAGACAAATACATTGTCCCAAATGTCAAAATTATCATTTACAGCCTGTAAATGGCACTTTAAAATACAATAATGACCATCCTAAGAATCCATATTATCATGTACCCAATAGTAATTACGTAATTTAAAAAAAAACCCCAGATAAAACCCGCCGGTTCAAGTTTTTTTTTTCCGCAACTTTCCTCCACCCCGCGCCGGTCCACCACCGTCTCTCCGGTTCTGTGTCGGACGCAACTTCAACATACTCGAAAGGAGCTCAGATCCCTTAATTCTCGGTGATTTTCTTTGCCTACGTTGTACATTTCTAAACTTTTTGACTTTCCAGTTCTTTGATTCTAGTGCCGAAGAATGCTGCAAATGAGGTTTTGATTTGAACTTATTTGAGGTTTGTAAGTGGGGATTGTTTGTTTTTGCATGCAATTTTGTGCGTCTATCAAGAATTTCTTGACTTATATATGCTTTGCTTTGATTTTTGGTACATTGTTTACTTGTCAGCTTGGTAGTTCAGTTCTAGGGTTGATGATTAGGTCATTTATTACTTGTTTTGTTCGTTAAAATATGCATAGATGTAAGTGTATTCCTTTGCTTCGTGTGCTTGGAGTGAAATTTGATTCAAAGTTATCGACCAGTTTAAGAAGCAGGTGGAAACCTTTAGTCTATAGTTGTTTGATGGTAGACATGTGAGTGGATATGTCTTTTGCTTTAATCTTCAGCGACTAGGGCAATTTTTAACTCCAGCCCTTTCATTTTGTATCGTGACTGGATATTTTGATAAAAATTTCAAGATTTACGAATGTCTATTCAACGGTCTAATTTAATCTGTGTCATTGCATGTTTTCCTTATTTCTCCTGTCCATATACTTGCTGCTCTTAGTTTATTTACTGTCCCATTATTTCATCAGGTCTTTTAGGGGTGTCTTGTCACTTTTGGATTAAACTACATGCTGGTTTATTGACTCAATTGTTTTCTCGTCGCGATCTAAGCGATTTTCTTCTTGACCATTTCTTTCATCTTGCTGTAGTATTTACTGCATATAGCTGCTCCTGTTAGGTTATTTATCATACAGTGCTTCCTGTGCTAGGTAAGGTGGCCGGGCTAATTGCACAAACTTATGCAATCATGATCCATTGAGAGCTAATACACTTATGAAGTATTGTGGTCTCCCTGCATTTTTGTTTCACGTACTTGCCGATTTTATGCATAGAATGCTTTTAATTAAATGAAAACGAGACAAGGAACATGAACGACCATTTATTTTACTTTGTAGTTTTTATATAAAAAAAAATTTACTTTGTAGTTTGCCTTTTTCTTTTATATGTGGTTTGGCGGGGAGCAATTATGCTTTATTATCAATTTCATCTTATGCACGTGTTTCACATTTTAAATGAAAGTTTGTGTGCGGTCTTTTTTTTTTGTTTTTGTTTTTCTCTAGTTGAAAGTTTTACCATATATGGAAGGTACTTAGGCCGGGGAAGAAAATTTATATATAGAAGTAGATTTACTGAACCAATATGCTGGTCAAATCCATGTTGGTTGAATTTATTGATAAAATTGTGTTTCTTTGTAATTTCTTCCCGCACTTTGATAAATATTTGCACTTTTTAGCCCTATGGATTTTTATCCATGTTAAAATAAGTTTCTCCAGTCAAGCGGTTAGAATCTTCACTTTGTTTCTCACGCTGTTTGAGATCCATTTGTATCTGACTATGTTGCTCTGACTCTTCATTTTACTTGAGGTACCGATGCCAGACACAAATTACAAATGTTTTTTCTTTCTTGCAGAAGATGAGTAACTTGGTTGAGAGGCTCCGGGTTAGATCAGAACGAAAGTCAGTTTACAATTTGGATGAATCAGATGATGATGCAGATTTTGTGCCTGGAAGATCTCGTAAAACTGACGAGAACTTAGAAAAGATAGTCAGGGATGATGCGGTCAGCCTCTTTTTTCTTTTGATAGTTCTTTTATGTTTCCAAAAGAATCACCTCTGATTAGGATAGCTTTTCTTCCTATCCGTGCTGTATCAGATTTGATCTTCAGATAGTCTGTGTTGTGGAAATTCAGTCTGTGTTGTGAAAATTGCTGATGCCTTGTAGAAAAAAATGTTGGCGTTATGTTACTCTCTTTAGTTTATGTTTTTGTTCGTTCAAATTTATAGATATGGAACATTCAGATGGTTCTTGGTAATTTGTTTTATTCTTCATTAACCATTTTTAATGATTTTTTTTATAGGAAGTGGAGGCCTCGTTAAAAACCCCCTTCATGATTAAAGGAACACTAATCGGTATTCCTTAATCAGCGGAAGGAGGAAAAGAGTGCCTCAAAATTCATTAATAACTAAAGATTACATAATGTTTAAAACAATCAATCCCCTTACAAAAACAACCCGAAACACACCGAACAACACATCTTACACTCAATTAAAAAACATCCTAAACCCAACAAACAATAACTACCCAATACCAGCCTTAGCTAAGCAATCAACTTCTATATTAGTTGTTCTATCAACCCATCTGATAGCACCCTCCAATACTCTTATCATGGCAGCAATATCTTTCACTAGATCAAGAAACACAACAGGACAACTATCTAAATTCTTAACCCAATCCACTGCAAGTTTGTTGTCAGATTCAACAATCCACCGATTTTGTAGAATCTTCTGAGACGGCTTCCAGGTTTTTAAGATTCTCATTTGAGCTATAAGGGAGGAAAGCCTAAGGGTTCGCTCTCTTCTCAAATGCAGATTTTGTAGTTGCTGCCAAGGATGCTATTCAGAAAATGGTTTTTGATTCTAAGTTGAAGTCTCTCTTGCACATTGAGACGGCTAGGAAGAATCTTGTTGTTAAAAGAGGTATAATTAATAATTCTGATGCTCATGTTCCTCTAGTACTGCCATTGCCAAATCCAGCCTCTTTAGCATCTCCAAGTATTCATGTGCCTGTTAAAACTGGGTGTTTCGACGAAAAGTCTGCAATTGATGGTGTCCACGAGGGAACCAGGGAATCTACCACAAAGGAGTGCAATGTTGATAAGTCTGGATGTTACACGTTATTTGTTGAAAATTTACCACAGAAGATTCATCGGAAAAGGTTTGGATCTTTATTTTGCTCCCATGGTCGGGTTCTTGATGCTTTTATTCCAAATAAAAGAAATGCAAAAGGAGTTCGCTTTGGTTTCATTCGCTTCGCTGCAATCGAAGAAGCAAGGAGAGCGACCTCAAAACTGAATGGCTCTTTTATCGACGACAGCAAAATTGGTGTTTCTTTTGCTAAATTCAAACCTCGTCACTCTTATCGGAGAAAGTCTTTCACAGGTGTTCTCCACAAGTCCGAAGATGGAAGATGATTCGAGGAAGAATCATTATAAAGTTGAAGGTGTTATTGATGAAGAAAAACTTCAGGTGTTGAGTAATTGTCTAGTGGGGTGGTGTAAAAACTTCATCAAAATCAGTCATCTCGCTAGACAAATGCATGCGAAGGGCCTCACTGGCTTCTCCTTAATGAGAGCTGCTGGAAATGCGGTATTAATGATTTTCGAAGACTCTGCTTCATTGAGAAGTGTGAAGAACGATAAATCAGAGACTCTCGCAGAGTGGTTCTCCATAGTCGAAGCTTGGTCAAAGAGTTTGGTATTGGAGTGTCGCCGAGTATGGTTAGTTTGCGAGGGTGTTCCATTTCAAGCATGGAATTGGAATACTTTCAAGAACATTGCTGATAGTTGGGGTCAGTTACTAGCAATTGATGAAAGCTGTCAGTCACCATCATCCTTTGATCGGGCAAAAATTTAAGTCCTCGCAAAGGCTGGTGCGAGAATTGATGCGTCGTTGGAATTGAAGGTTGGTGACAACTCCTTCAAGATCATGGTGCATGAGATAGAGCCTTCATTCAAGCCAAACTCTTGGGCTCCTGAAGAAGACGAATCTCATTAGATCTGGTCTTTCTATTTGTGGTTTGATTTAGTTTATATGGTTGCAGGTGTTGCTTTTCTTTTGTATTATGTTCTGTTGCGTTGTTTTAATACTATTTGCTGGAGGTGTAATTAGAAATAAGGTGATTCGACTGTGACTTTGGTTGAGGTTATATGGGGTTAAGGTGTTTGTTGTAATGGTGTATATCACTATAGGAGGATATTTCGTGTAATCCTTTGTATTGGGTATTATTATTAATAAACTTTGAGGTACTCTTTTCTTCCTTCCAATGTTTGTTAACATACTTCTTAGTATGTGAACGAATACGAAGGGAGTTTTTAATGAGACCTCAAACTTCTATCGAAAAAAAAAAACAATCCACCGATTCTTAAACCTCTTAAGAATAGGCTCAAAGATAATTAAACCCCTCTTGATGGCTATAAGCTCCAGCAAAGTAGGAGGGCCTGGACCAACATATAATTAAACCATTTTTAATGATTGAAATCACATAATGAAAATTCATGTCAAGCCTGTGGAGAAACCAAGAATCTCTTGAGTTGTGCAACATGTACTTATGCATACCATCAAAAGTGCTTACTTCCTCCACTGAAAACTCCTCCTCTTCATGACAACTGGAGATGCCCTGAATGTGTATGATTAAATTGTGTTTTCTGACATTGTTACTATCTCTATATCTTGGATTTCTGCGAACCTTTCACAGCAGCTTAGAGTTACTTTTTTGGCTTGCAGGTTAGCTCTCTGAATGATCTTGACAAGATATTGGATTGCGAAATGCGTCCTACCGTGGTTGATGATAATGATGCTTCCAGTACAGGTTCAAAGCAAATATTTGTGAAACAGTATCTTGTAAAGTGGAAGGGATTATCCTATTTGCATTGCACTTGGTAATTTTCAGATTAATTATGTTTATAATATTGTTTTTAGCAAACATTAACCATATATCTACATTGGTGATGTTAGGGTACCTGAGGAGGAGATTCTAAAAGCTTTCAAGTCCAATCCTCATTTAAGGACTAAGCTGAACAACTTTCATCGACAAATGGAATCAAAGAATAAATCCGAAGATGACTTTGTTGCCATTAGACCTGAGTGGACTACAGTTGATCGAATTCTTGCTTGCAGGTTCATCTATCTAATAACTTTATCATATGCATGTACACATACACATGTTATACATGTATATTGTTGTTCTTTGTCCTTGATTTTGATCATCTGATTTCAATAATCATCCTCATGCACGTTATCATCTGAGATCTGGATATTTGTTTACTTTACTGATTGTGACTCTGACTTGGTGTTTTTGTGTGTTCTTTTAAGCTTGGGTTCTAGTTCAGTAGCTAACGTATGTGTGTTATGGATACTGACTTCCTCAGGGGAGATGAGGATGAGAAGGAATACCTTGTTAAGTATAAAGAACTTCTTTATGATGAATGTTATTGGGAGTTCGAGTCAGATATATCTGCATTTCAACCTGAAATTGAGAGATTCAATAAAATTAGGTCCAGAGCTCATAAATCTGCTAGTAAGAAGAAAAACAGCTTTCAAGATGCTGTTGAGTCCAAGAAAAAATCAAAGGAATTTCAGCAGTATGAACATAGTCCTGAGTTTCTTTCTGGAGGTTCATTCTATTTCATTTTCCCTGCAATCTCGCACTTGTCTGATCGCACATTGTGATCATTAATTTCTGAAATCATTTTAATGGATTTCTAGGCACATTGCACCCTTTCCAACTTGAAGGGTTGAACTTCTTGCGTTTTTCTTGGTCCAATCAAACACATGTAATTCTTGCTGATGAAATGGGCCTTGGTAAGTCCTGTTTGGAGGCAGTTTACTTTTTGAAGGAATTTGAGTAGCTTATATCGTATATAATAGGTTGCAAATGTTTTTTCTTCTTTTCTTGCAGGTAAAACCATCCAGAGTATTGCTTTTTTAGCATCTCTTTTTGAAAAAAAGATTGCTCCTCATTTGATAGTAGCGCCACTTTCCACATTACGGAACTGGGAACGGGAGTTTGCAACATGGGCTCCCCATATGAATGTTGTATGTACATGAAAATTATTAAATTACAAGTTATGATTCCCTGTATATGCTATTTTAATCGAGAATACTATGATGCAGGTTATGTATGTAGGTTCTGCCCAAGCTCGTAGAGTGATAAGGGAGTATGAGTTTTATCATCCTAAAAAAAGTCATAAGAAGATAAAGAAAAAGAAATCTGGCCAAGTTGTTAGTGAAAGCAAGCAAGACAGGATAAAATTTGATGTTCTTTTAACGTCATATGAGATGATTAACTTGGATACAACATCGTTGAAGCCAATAAAATGGGAATGCATGGTATATCTTGTTGCTCTTTGAGTCTGTTATGTAGTCTTTTAAGTGAGTTTTTGCTCTTACATGATTCATTGTGTAGATCGTTGATGAAGGACATCGGCTCAAGAATAAGGATTCAAAGTTGTTTCTTTCATTGAAGAAGTATACGACTTACCACCGCACTCTTTTGACTGGAACTCCTCTTCAGGTTTGTTCTTTGTTTTCAGTATTGCCTTGGAGATCGTGAAAGTTATCACCAATAGCATTAAAATTTGTTCAACGAGTTATGAACATCCTTTCCAGCAGTGGCACAATTATTTGCATGTTATTCCTTTCATACCATATTTTGCTATCTCAAGATGATTTCGTCTTTCCCAGCCAGCCAGCAAGCCTTTTATTTGTTTATATATATCTATTTTATTTTATCTTATGATAAAATTATTGAATTTAAAAGTTTGATGTTAAGAAATAAAGTCAGGCAGCATATTTCTCTTTTTTAGTAAGAGCTGTTGCTAACCATTGTACATAAAATATGCATGCAGTGCTTGTATTTATTTCTAAATAAAGTGAAAGCTTGTTTGTGAATAAAGGGTTCATATTAAGGAGTTCCTTGAATAAATTTGTTTCTGTTTATATTCTCCTGGCCCATCAATTCTTTTCTAAAGATGCAAGAAGCTTACTAAGTTCTATAAAAAAAAGAAGCTTACTAAGTTTGTTCTAGTTTTGGGTTTTTGCTGTTTCTTAACGTTTTATGATTATTTCAGCCTGTCTTTGTTTTTTTTTCTCTCTTTTTTTTATATGTGATTACCTCAGAATTTACATGCACTCGTTTTTCTATATGTATAATATTATGATTTATGACTTACTTGTGAACGTTTGTTTGGATTTAGAACAATCTGGATGAACTTTTCATGCTAATGCACTTTCTTGATGCTGGAAAGGTTAGTATCAATGTTATATGGAATATGAATTTTTAATAATGTAGAGTTGCAAGAAGATTTTAAAGTTTTTTGATCATTTTCTAAGGAATTGTTTTGGTTCACCTATATGTAGTTTGGAAGTTTAGAGGAGTTACAGGAGGAATTTAAGGATATTAGTCAGGAGGAGCAGATTTCAAGGCTTCATAAAATGTTGGCTCCACATCTCCTTAGAAGTATATATCTTAAACTTTTACACAGGATCATATGCACTATTGTCTTGCTTAGTTGCTTCTTTATTCTAACTCGTGCAAAGAATGTAGTCTGACTTCTAAAGGCTTTGACTTCAATTCTCAACGCAGGCTTTTCACTTTGGCTTTCTTCTTCATCTATTTTCCTTTTTTGCTTTTCAGTGACTTTGGCTTTATAGGGAAAGGATATTTTTTATTTGTGTGGACTTGCTAAAGCCATATTTCTTGGATCAATATTTTGGGTATTTACCGATCTTGCAGAAATAGTAGGTACTGATTATTATTAATGCAGGAGTGAAGAAGGATGTCATGAAGAAACTTCCTCCAAAAAAAGAACTAATTTTACGTGTTGATTTAAGTAGCAAGCAGAAAGAATATTACAAGGCTATTTTGACTCGTAATTATCAAATACTTACCCGACGAGGTGGTGCACAAGTAGGCTCACTTGTTTTGATGAAATAAGTTTCTTCTCTTTCCTGCATCCATTTGCTTGCAGGGTGGGTTGCCCTACTACATAGCTGACGTTAGTTTTTTCTCTTGAATTAGATATCTCTAAACAATGTGGTTATGGAGTTGCGGAAGCTATGCTGTCATCCTTATATGTTGGAAGGTGTTGAACCAGTAATTCAAGATGCAAATGAAGCTCACAAGTAAACTTATACGCGTGCTTTTTTGCTAAAATTTCTATTTTATTATCATAATTTTTGTCATTTTTCTTGATCTTAATCTACCATTGAAACTATTCTTCTGTATTCTGTACTGATCTGGTAAATGCCTCTACCTTCTGCTTCTACCTTTTCTTTGTCTTTACAGACAGTTCCTCGAATCTTCTGGGAAATTGCAACTGCTGGACAAGATGATGATAAAGCTTAAAGAGCAGGGGCATAGAGTTCTTATATATTCACAATTCCAGCACATGTTGGACTTATTGGAGGATTACTGTACTTGCATGGTAATATCTGCATTAGCATGAAGATTTTATGGTTAAATTGTTGGTTCGCCGACAAATGAGGAAGTTCAACTTATTATTGGCGCCCCTTATTTTCTTTACAGAATTGGCAATATGAACGTATAGATGGAAAGGTTGGTGGAGCTGAGAGGCAGATATGCATAGATCGGTTTAATGCCAAAAATTCTTCTCGGTTTTGCTTTTTGCTTTCTACTAGAGCTGGTGGCTTGGGTATAAATCTTGCGACTGCAGATACGGTTATCATTTATGATAGGTCAAGCAGTTACCCTCTTATATATATTTTTTTATAAGAATTTCAGGCCTCATTAAAAAACCCCCTCTTGATTAATGGAGCTTCTAAGAAATCTCCTTAATCAACGGAAGGAGGAAAAGAGTGCCTTAGGATTTTATTGAACCATACAATTACATAAGATACAGCCATTAATACACCCCTACAAAACCAAAAAAGCTCGAAACAACATAAAACATCCAATCCAAAAAAACATAGAATCAGCCAATTCCTGCTTTAGCTAAGGCATCAACCTCTAAATTTGTTGTCCTACCCATCTAACAACACCTTCTAAAACATTAAGCTTGTGAACAATATCTCTAATAAAAAAAGCATAAACATCAAGAACTAAATCCACTTCCTTAATCCAGTCTATAGCCACCTTGCTGTCGCTTTCGATAATGAGACGACCCTTCCTCTCTCGTAAATTCGCATAGAACATTAAACCCTTATGAATAGCTTTTAATTCCATATAAGTTGGAGGACCGGACCAGTAGATTCCTTGAAAGAATTTACAGTCAGACCCGAGGAGTCCTTTAACACACCACCTATCCCACTCTTCTTCCAATCTCTTGTAGTAGCAGCATCAACATTTAACTTTACAAAACCTTTAGGAGGAGGAGACCAAGGCAATATAGTTACAAGCTGATTAGAATTGAGAGAGCACAAATCCCCTAAAGAGGGATATGAAATCAGAGAATCCTTAGGAATAGAAACCTCTTTGTACTTAGCAAGGAACCAAGAAGCTAGTCTAAACCTTGCTAAGAAAAAATACTCAGCCAAATCTAACTTTCCCCCTTCAAACACAATATGATTCCTAACTTTCCAAGTAGTCCACAGAACTGCCCCAGGAATAAAAGACCAAATTGTAGAGGTAGACTTCAAATCAGCCCAAGCTAGTAGGAAGATTTTAGCATTAACATGAAAAACAGACTTAATCTTCCAGAAATTCAGAAATTTGTTCCAAATCGACCACACCACCGAACAAGTGAAAAACAAGTGCGAGGGAGACTCCTCCTCCCTCTTGCAAAGAGGGCACATAATGTCTACAATTCCTTGAATTCCCCTTTTAACAAGTTCTGTCCTAACAGCCAGCTTCCCTAACACCACCTGCCACATAAAGGACTCCACTCTAGGTGGAATCTGACCCCTCCAAATAATCTTCTTCCAAAAATATACCTCTTCCGAATCCGAATTGATGGATGAACAAATCTTAGTGCCAGATTTAACAGTGTACACCCCACATCCAGAACCTTTCCAAATCACCCCATCAGCAAACTCCATAGATAGAGAAACAGAGGAAATAACATTCATCAAATTCACCCACTGCTATACTTCCCAGTCATTTAAATTTCTTCTAAACTGCACATCCCAACTCCATCCCGAAGAGCTATAATTCCCAAATTCAAACAGTTTGCCCATTCTATTTGTGGAAATGGAAAATAATCGCGGAAAATAATTAGAAGAGGATAATCCAAAGCCCAACTATCCTGCCAGAACCTAATCACCTTGCCATCTCCAACTCGAAAAGCATACAAACTTCTAAACTTAGAGCCAATACTGTCTTCTTTAAAGTGATTCTTAACCATCGATCTCTAAATCCAAGATACTCTTTGTGGGACTTTGCTGTCAAACATTAACCAAGATGGATCCATATTGTATTTAGAACAAATGAATTCCCTCCAAACAGACCCCCTTTCATTAGCATACCTCCAAGGCCATTTTGCTAAAAGAGCTCTATTCATGAAAATAAGGTTTCGAACACCTAAACCCCCCTCGAATTTATACTTGCTCACAATCGGCCAGTTAACCCAATGTATCTTATTTTTACCTATTCCCCCTCCCCATAAGAAATTCGACATAATGGAGTTGAGAGATTTAAGTACCGAAGCTGGTATCTTAAATAAAGATAAATAATACGCAGGGAGCGAACCGACTTTATTAAAACCAACCATCCTGCTATTGACAGTGAAGAAGCCTTCCACCCAGCTAATTTATTTGTAAAATTATTCACCACCGGACTCCAAATTGCTGTAGAGTTTCTACTAGCTCCCAAAGGCAATCCTAAATATTCAGAGGGAAAACAACCCACATAACATCCGATAGAATTAGCCTACTATTGAACATCTTCTTCATTCAAATTCACACCAAACAGTTTACTTTTCTTCAAGTTGAGCTGTAAACCAGAAACTACTTGAAACACTCTAAGCACCCTCTTAACATTTAAAATCTGCATCTTAGACGCCCCACAAAATAATGAGATCATCCGCGAACTGTAGATGAGATAATTTGAAAGCACCCGAATCCCTTCCTATAACCAGTCCAGAAAACAGTCCCTGTGCCACAACCTTTAAAATTAGTAGATTGAGAAGTTCTCCAATAAAATTAAACAACAAAGGTGATAGTGAACACCTCTGCCTAAGTCCTTTAGCCATTGGAAATTCCTCAGTAGGAATTCCATTCACTAAAACAAAAACTGAGGCAGTGGTTACACATTTTCTGATCCAACCTATCTACCTGGAACCAAATCCCATTTTCTCCATTACTAGAAACAAAATGTCCCAATCAACCGAATCATAAGCTTTCTTGAAATCTGCCTTGAAAACACAACCTTTAAGACCATTTTTCCTCCAGTAATCCACTCCTTCATTCGCAATTAAAGAACAATCCAATATTTGTTTCCCTTGGGTGAAGGCAAATTGTGTTGGGCTAATTAAGTCTGAAATACAACTCCTCAATCTCCTCGATAGGCACTTAGAGAGGATCTTATATAATCCACCAACTAAGCTTATAGGCATATAATCATCAAGATTAACACTGTTAGAGACCTTAGGAATAAGAGTAATAAATGTATGGTTGATGCCATGATCCCAATTTTTCCCCGAATAGAAATTGAGGAAGAACTTCATAATCTCTCCTTTAAGTACATGCCAATATCTCTTGAAAAAACCCAAATTAAAACCATCTGGCCCTGGGGCTTTATTGCTATTACAAGACTTTAAAGTATCTCATATTTCCTCCTCAGTAAATTCTTTCTCCAAACTTAACCTCTGCTGACTAGAAATACTGGAAAAATCCAACCCAAAATCTTTCACTTCTAAGGTCGATTTGTCATTAAACGCCTTAAAGAAGTGTTCTTTGACAGTGACCTTTATAACATTTGGGTCTTGAATAACATTACCCCTGCTACTAATAGCATTCAAAGCATTTTGTTTCCTTCTAACTGAAGCACATGTATGGAAGAATCTGGTATTTCTGTCCCCATCTTCTACCCACTTGGATCTAGAATTCTGGAACCAAATCTGCTCCTCTATCTTGTGCAACTTCCATAATTCTGACCTTAAGTCCTTCAACTCAGCTGCTTTCTCATCATGAGTACCATCTTGCTGTTGTTGAACCTCCACTTCTAATTTTTGAATCTTCAATTCTAATTCTGAAATTAAAGCTCCAGGAAACTTATCTCTCTTCCTTGCCCAATTTTTAATGGCAGTTTTGGTTTTTTTCAGAATGTTAAAAATTCCAGCATTCCTCTGTAACTCTTTACATTTTTGAATTGAAGAACTGACCAAATCCTCGAATCCAGCCTCATCCATCAAGTAATTAAACAGTTTAAACGGTTTTCCCCCCAATTTACACCTCCATTCTCAATTATTACTGCATTATGATCTGACAATGATCTTGCAGCAACGATTGTGTTAAATCTGGAAAAGCATCCAAGAATTGGCTATCAACCAAAAATCTGTCCAGTCTAACATAGGTCGGGGAATCTTCGTTATTACCCCAAGTAAACCTACCTCCACTCAATGGCAAATCAATTAAACCTGTATTAAGAAGAAATCGACTGAAAATCTCTATAGAATTCATGTTTTGGGCTCTACCAATCTTCTCATCTTCATGTAGATAAACATTAAGGTCCCCTCCAACACAAATAGGCTCAGAATGTCCTCCAATGAACGTGCTTAACTCATCAAAAAAACTTTCTTTCTCTTCCTCAACCGAGGGCCCATACACATTAATGAATCTGCACCTGAAATTATTTGCCCGAAACCTCCCCGATATAGCAATAAATCTTTGGTTGTATACTGATTTTGCAACTCAAATACATTATCATCCCAACAAAACAGTAATCCCACTGACGAACCAACCGAAGGAGACTCAATAACCCCTTGCAAATTATTTAACCCGTAAAAGACTTTGAATCTTCTCCAATTTCATTTCCTGCAACCAAAGAAATTGAGGATAGTATTTAGAGACTAGTCTCTGAACAACCCTTTTTTTCACTTCTACCCAAACCTCTAACATTCCATGTTATTATAGATAACTTCAACATAATCATAGAAAAATCAACCATCTAGACCCCCCGCAAAATCCCCCTGTTTGTCCATCCTTAAGCCTTTTTCCAAAACAATAATCTTATCCAAAAAGGCTTGCTGTCCTTGTTCAAAGGAAATCCCCGGCAGCATACTTACCTCCCAAGTAGCTAAAGCTTCTTCCAATAAATCAGAAAAGCCTGAAGAGGAAGCTGTTGAAATGCTCACTCTTTCTAAAGCTTCCCTTAACAAATGTCTTCTAGCTCTCCTGATAAACACACCAGATTCAAAGCAATGATTATCACCTATAGACTGCAATCCTTTGACCACCCTATCCACACTCTTATCCCCCGAACTCAATACATCATTAACATCCTCACAACCCTAAAACTCTACATCCACTGACAAGCTATTCAGTTGAATACCTCTGGAATTCATATTTTTCCAGTCTCTGATGATTAAGGCATTTTCTTTCTCAGGCTGAAAATTCAAGATACTTCCCAGCCAGTATTTTCTGCCTCTACACCTTTTGTAGACCCTTTTGTAACTTCTGATTTTCCTTTTCTCTAACGGTACGCTTTTGGTACTTAATGAGCTATCAGACTTATAAAACAATCCACCCTTTACTTTACTTCCTGAGATATCAATGAAAGGCTCTATCACCATTAACTCAGGATCCTTAGCTCGTAAACCATCCTTTTCTATTATCTCTGAATCTGACCTCTTCCCCTCTTTTTCTCTACTGTAAAATCCTGACTTAGCCAAATCTTGATCTTGAACCATTTTCCCAAATTTATCTATTTTAATTCTTGGCCCAGCAGGAATAATCCTTCCTACATTAGACCCAAAAAGCTCATCTCCTTCTGATTGGGCTTCAGACCCATCAGCCATCATTTTTGAATCTCTCAATCCCAAACCTGCAAACTCACCCACTTTGACAAACTCACCCAGTTTGTTTATTTGTTTGTATACTATTTTAAGGTTTACAGATATTACATGCTCCCTTTGGTTTTTGTTCAATTGAAAAGTGAAAATATGGTTCTTGCCTCTACAGTGATTGGAATCCTCATGCTGATTTACAAGCAATGGCTAGAGCTCATCGACTCGGCCAAACGAATAAGGTGCAAGTTGATTCCTTGATTTATACAAGGCAAAACATTCTCTCCCCCCCCCTATTTTCCTGTTTTCCTATGAAGAGTATTTTCTGGGTTATAGGTCATGATTTATCGGCTCATAACTAGAGGATCCATTGAAGAAAGGATGATGCAGCTGACAAAGAAGAAAATGGTTTTGGAGCATCTTGTTGTCGGGAGGCTAAAGGCTCAAAATATTAATCAGGTACTTCTGATCTATGACATGGCAGTTTATAAAAGGATTCAAAAATTAACTAATTTGTGGGCTAGGTATGAAGTTATAAGGATCCAACTATTTTCATGTTGTATAAGCATTTTTGTGTGTGTGCAATAAGTAAACTTAATTGTGCCACTTAGGTACCGTGTTAGTAGCATGTCAAATCAAATAAAACTAAAGTTTCATGTATACAATTGCACAAATCAAAATTCTTATATTATATTGTCCATTGGATCGAAGTTCATGTGTAGCCTTGGGATTTATCCCTATACTATAATGTTGGAATGAACTGGGTTTTAGAAGAAAAATTAGAACCATTAACTAACAGATTGGTGAAGAATGACAACACAGTTGGAGTTTGATATGAAGGCAGATTGTCATTTGGGCTATCCCAACTAATTATGGAAACGCGTTTGTCTTCGCTGTCCTTGCTTGTCTATGTGGTGTCAATAAACCAACATAATGTGTTGTAACTTCTTCAAATTCCAACCCTCTATTTCTTATACATATTCTATTGAATGGAAGTCTTTTTTTGGTGTCTATTGGGAGATGTTGAGCTACTGTGGAGTTTATTGTCAGATGTTGCTTCCTCTCCAGAACAAAAGTGTTACAATCATTGAACTGGAAATTTAATTCATTATTGTTAACTTTAGGAGGAGTTAGATGACATCATCAGATATGGCTCAAAGGAACTATTTGCTGATGAAAATGATGAAGCAGGAAAGTCCCGCCAAATTCATTATGATGCTGCTGCTATTGATAGGTAATCTATTATTCACTATTGGTGCTACTTCTTGATTGATGATGGCCTCTGCATATTTGAAGTTAATTTCTTGGTTCTATTTTTCCCTTTGATAGATTACTTGATCGTGAACAAGTTGGTGATGAAGAGGCTGCACTGGATGATGAAGAGGAAGATGGATTTTTGAAGGCGTTCAAGGTTGTCTATTTTTATATCTTAACTTTTTTTGTATTATTCTTTTACTGGCTGATGAACTAAAAAGGCATGCAGTTATTTGCTTCTTGAATTATTAACTTTAGGCTTGACACATATATGACCTGATACATGTTGCTAATTGATTTTCTTCCCCAAAATTCTCTTTGTTAAATTTCCAAATTTAGAACAATTAAACATTTTTTTGGAAGAAAGAGTTCTCATCTGTGTGCATTCTTAGCATATTGGTTTGATTACAGCACCCCACTAAGTCTGTGCCATATTTGTAAGGCTGTTTATTTTTCCATGGGTCCAGTTATCTTAGGGCAACCATCTGTCAAAATTGTATTTCTCTTTTCAAAGGTTTGATTTCTTATTCACAGGCAAGTGCAGAATGTAACGCGTTAGCCTGTGACATACATGTAAGTACGTTATGTACTGCACTTGCTAGTATTTGAGAAGTCAAACATTTTAAAAGAGCAATAGAGTTTTGAAGGTTGTAGAAATCAGAGTAATTCTCTGTATTTTCTTATTATTTTTAATAGGACAAATTACATCTTTATATACAAATTCTCTCTCTAAAGTAGAAAACTCTAAGAAAGGAAAGATACTAATCCTAGGAGTTATGATCCCTTAAAATAAGAGATTTTAGAAAACTATTTACAGAATCCCTTAACTAAAGGAATGATAACAAATCATATATCTTTATAATTTCTACACTCCCCCTCAAGCTGGAGAATATACATCGTATAATCCCAGCTTGAATAGGAATTTATTGAAAACAGGCTTTGGCAAAGTCTTAGTAAGAATGTCTGCAATTTGTTCTTCTGAAGGAATGTATGAAAGTGTGGTTGTCTTTTTGTTAACTTGATCAGCAATAAAATGCCTATCAATCTCAACTTGCTTTGTTCGATCATGTTGAACTGGGTTCTTGGCAATCTGAATAGCAGATTGATTATCACACAAAACTTCAAAGTGATCCTCTTGATTAGTGACAAGTTTTTTCAGTAGTTTAAGTAGCCAAATTCCTTCGCATATTCCCAATGCTAGTGCTCTGAATTCAGCTTCAGCACTACTTCTTGAAACAACAGATTGTTTCTTACTTCTCCAAGTTGTAAGGTTTTCCCAAACAAAGGTGCAGTAGCCACTAGTGGATCTCCTTTCAGTAAGGTCTCCGGCCCAACTAGAGTCTGTAAAAATCTTAACAGTTCCGTCTTGTGTCTTCTTAAACATTAAACCGTGTCCTGAAGTTTTCTTCAAGTACTTGAGAATTCTATTTGTTGCTGCCATATGCTCTTCGGTAGGATTAGTCATGTGTTAACTTATCACATTTACTGGAAATGTTATATCTGGCATTGTCAAGGATAATAATTAGTTTCCCGACTAATCTTTGAAATTTCTCTTTGTCTACTAAGGACCCATCTTCTTTGTTAAATTTCAAGCTTGCCTCCATTGGTGTATCATTCGGCTTGCAACCAAGAAAACCAATTTCTTTGAGTAAATCAAGTACATATTTTCTTTGGTTGATCACAAATCCTTCTTTTGACCTTGCCACCTCCATTCCTAGGAAATACCTTAGCTTTCCCAAGTCCTTGGTTTCGAATTCCTTATTTAACAACTTCTTCAAATTGCAAATCTCTTCTTCATCATCTCCGGTAAGAATTATTTCGTCCACGTACACAATAAGGATAGTTTTCTTATTTGTAGAAGTTACTTTGATGAAAAGAGTATGATCTGCGAGAGACTGCTTGTAGCCGTTTTAACCCGTATAGAGACTTGTTGAGCTTGCAAACCTTATTGCTACCTTCAACAGACTGTAAGCCAGGTGGCAATTTCATATAGACTTCTTCTTCTAGCTGGCCATTAAGAAAAGCGTTTTTTATATCAAGTTGGTGTAATTTCCAATTGCAATTTACAACCAAACTTAGGAGTTCTCGAACAGTATTCAGCTTCGCCACAGGTGCAAAAATTTCTGTGAAATCTATCCCATATGTTTGCGTAAAACCTCTGGCCACTAGTCTCTTTTTGTATCGTTAGATACTACCATTGGAGTTATACTTTACAGCAAAGATCTATTTACAGCCAACAACCTTTTTTCCTTGAGGAAGGTTTGTAACAGTCCAAGTAGCATTTTTCTCGAGTGCAGAAATTTCCTCTTCAACAGCCCTTCTCCATTTAGAATCCTTTATAGCTTCGGTTATGCTTGTGGGAACCTGTTCTTTATCCAAGGTTGTTGTAAATGCTTGAAAAGAAGGCATCAATGAATTATAATTAACAAATTTTTCAATAGGATGCTTGGTGCACTGTCTAACCCCTTTTCTAATAGCAAGGGAATTCATCTAGAGTAGGGGAAGTGGACTTACTGATTTCTTCTTCTATTTCGGCAGTTGGACCCAAATCCAATTCTCGGCAAGAATCAGATTGCAAAACAACCTCAGGAATATGTTTTCTTCTCCTTGTATAGAAACAAAGTTGTTTGATTGGTGTTGTTTGTGGAAGATTTTGAATGGGAGTAGGTGTATTTTCAGGAAGGGTGTTTAAAGTGGGTGAGGGTGAAGTAGTGATAGGTACTACAAGTGGATCAATGGGAGTAGTTACATGTGACAAATCTATAGGTAAAGGCAAAAATGATGGCAATTCTGAAGGTTGAGAATGAAGAGGGGTGGAGATACCTGATATGGCTGAAAATCCCTCCATGTCTCCCCCTGAATTTCAGCCTGAGTGAAATAGGGATCCTGCTCATAAAAAGTGATATCCATAGTGGTAAAAATCTTTTAGAAGGATGATGGTAGCATTTATAACCCTTCTTGAGTGAAGAATACCCAACCAATGCACACTTTATAGACTTGGGATCTAACTTGGACTTATTAGTAGCAATGTTTTGGATAAAAACAGTACAACCAAAGATTTTAAGTGGTAGAATGGAGGATATAGGTTTAAAATGGGGAAAATATTGCAAAAATATAGATTGAGGCTTTTGAAAGTGTAAAGGCACCTGGTCCGGATGGGTTTACTATGGGATTTTTAAAAAAATTATGGCCTGTATTGAAGGAGCATATTATGAAATTTATTTAGGTTTTTCACAGAGGTAGGAAATGAGAGAATGGAGTTAATCACTCTTTCATTACTCTAATCCCCAAGAAACTGAATCCAGAGGGCATTGAAGACTTAAGACCCATAAGTCTTGTTGGCAGCTTATATAAAATAATTTCCAAAGTGCTTTCGAAAAGGCTTGTTTAAGTTATTAAAGGTATAGTTAGCCCTTCGCAGTTTGCCTTTATTCCGGGCAGACAATTGCTTGATTGTGCTCTTTTGGCAAATGAAGGCATAGAATGTTGGAGGAAAAAAGGGAGGCGCGGAGTAGTTTTCAAAGTTGATTTCCGTAGGGCTTATGATTCGGTTGAATGGCCAATCTTACTGAGATTAATGAAGGTTATGGGTTTTGGGGATAAATGGATTTCTTGGATTAATTGTTGCATTCTACAACCTCTTTCTCGGTGTTAGTGAATGGATCTCCAACTGAGGAATTCCACATTAGTAAAGGGTTGAGACAAGGTTGTAGTTTGTCCCTTATCTTGTTCAATATAGTTGGGGAACTTTTAAACTTAATGTTGATCAAGGCTGCTGATCTAGGCCTTTTCCAAGGGTTCATCATCAGTAGGGTTGAAAATTCCTTCCATTTGACTATTTACAGTTTGCAGATGATCTAATATTATTCTGCAGAGATTCATCGATGCAGATTTTAAATTTGAGGAGAGTTTTGAGGGTTTTCAGTGTTATGTCTAGGTTGCATTTAAATCTTTCAAAGAGCACTTTGTATGGCATTAATATGGAAGTTGATATGCTAAAAGTTTGGGCTAAGGAAGCGGGCTATGGAATGGGGTCTTTTCCAATGATATATCTTGGTTTATCGATTGGTTCAAGGAAAAATTCAGAAGGTTTGTGGGAACCGGTAATCCATATTTTTAACAGAAGATTAGCAGGTTGGAAAGCTAATTCTTTGTCGATAGTTGGAAGACTTGTGTTGGTTAAATCTGTGTTGTCCTCATTGTCAATTTTTTATCTCTCTATTTTCAAAATTCCATTCAAGGTGACTTAGAAGTCGAATTCTTTGATGGCTAATTTTCTTTGGGGAGAAGACCAAGCTAAGAAAAGAATTCACTAGATGAATTGGAAATCGATTTGTCAACCTTTTGGAGAGGGAGGGTTGGCAATCCTAGAAATTAGTTTGATGAATAGAGCCTTGCTTGGGAAATGGATTTGGAAATTCGCAAATGATAAAAACAGTTAATGGAAAAAGATGATCTGCTATAAAAATAACATTAGCAACTTATCTCTTTCAATAACAAAGGTTGCTTCTCCTCTAGATTCTTGGGTTTGGAGAGGTATTCTGAATAATTATGTGAAAAAAGATCAGATTGGAGATTGCTTGAGAGTTAATTCTAAGGTCCAAGTGAGGAATGGTAGGTCGATAGCTTTCTGGACTGATGTTTGAGTGAATAATTTGACTTTAAAAACTCAATTTCCCATAATTTTTGCTTTGTTGACTAATAAAGGGGGGCAAGTATCTGAGTTTGGTGGTTTTGAAAATAAGGTTTGGAATATTCATCTAAGAAATTTTTGTGACTGGGAATTGGAGCAGTGGATTGCTCTAATGTCTTTGCTCGATAATATTGTGATGTCCGGTTCAGTGGATGATTTTCTTGCTTGGTCGGGAAAGAGGGTTGGATTGTTCTTGGTCAAGTCTTGCAGATTGACGTTATCGTGCAATTTTGAAGGTAGTTTTGAGTGGAATAAGTGGGTGTGGACAGGATTGGCTCCTCCTAGAGTCCAAACTTTTTTGTGGCAGATTTGTCATTGTAAATTGGCAGTTAGAGTGAAGTTGAAGAAAAGAGGGATTCCTTTGGATAATGTACTTTGTCCTTTGTGTTGTACTCATGAGGAAACAGTAGAACACCTGTTCTTATTGTGTTCGGTTGCAAGAGAGATTTGGAACAAATTACTAAAGTTATGGGATATTTATACTGTTTTGCCTCAAGACCCCATTTCCCTCCTTTGTTTTTGGTCGAACCTAAGGCATAATTCTATTATTGGAGGTTTATCCCGGCTGTCGTGTTCTGGTCAATTTGGAAGGCTGGGAATTTGGCGGTGTTTGATAACGGAAATTTTGACAGCTCTACTCTCTTCTTTATTAGATTTAGGTTGGTTAAATGGTATCCAGCAAAATACCCTATTGTCTGTATACAGACAGATGTACTAATAGGGGATCCCTCGCGGGCTGATAAGATCAAAACTCTTCTATCTCAAAGGTTATTGGTTGGTCACCTCTTCCATCAGATATGTTTAAACTTAATGTGGATGGGGCAGTAAGAGGTGATGGGTTGAAAGGTGGAATTGGAGGTATTTTAAGAGATTCAAACAGCTCTACTTTAGCCACCTTCTCTACAGCAGTAGGGCCCAGTCTTCCAATTTTGGCAGAATTGAAAGCTATTAAGGAGGGAATTGATTTTTTCTATTCTTCTGAATGGGCTAAGAAGGGAAGACTTATTATTGAGAGTGATTCTAAAAGTGCAGTGGAATGGATTTATAACCACACTCTGCCCCTACTTCATTCAGTGATCTGGTGGAGGAAATTGGGGCTCTAATTACTGCTTTGGACACTGTTCTTAGATGGATTCCTAGGAGTTGTAATATGGAGGCCGACAAGTTAGCTAAGCAGGGGATTGGTTGGTTGGTTGTATGCTTATTGTTTAAATGTTTTGTGTTTTCTCGGGCCATGCATACGCTAAGAGTCTGTAAGGGTGGTGGTAGATTAGTAATAGGTAAACCAATCAGAGGCTGTTGCCTTATCTTAGTTGGTTTAGCCTAAGTCAGTGTTGTTGTATTTGGTTGTGTACGGGTATCTTGTGTTTTTCTGGTTGTATCTTATGTAATTTCAATTGTTGAATGAAATCCTAAGGCACTCTTTTCCTTCTTCCACTGATTAAGGAGTTGCCTTACTAGCTCATGTAATCAAGAAGGGGTTTTTTAACGAGGCCTTCAATTCTTATAAAAAAAAGTGTAAAATCTTACTAGGCATTTGGTTGATTAAATATGTGGTGGTTAATAAGGCTTCCCCACAAATATTTTTGAACATTAGTGGTATATAGAAGGGAACGAGTAACTTCAAGGAGGTGTCTATTTTTCCTTTCGACAACACCGTTTTATTGTGGGGTTCCAACACAAGAACTAAGCTGAACTATACCCTTTTCCCTGAAAAAATCACCCAAAGACTTAGCAAAAAATTCACTGCCATTATCATATTTAAAGAGCTGGATTTTGGTTCCAAATTGAGTGAGAACCATGTTATAAAATTGGGCAAAAACACCAGCAGTTTCAGATTTATCTTTTAGTAAATAAGTCCAAGTTATCCTACTGTGATCATCAATGAAAGTGATAAACTACTTACAATTATCAACATTCTTCACTTGAGAAGGGCCCCAAATATCACTGTGGATCAAGGCAAAAGGGTGAAAAGGCTTGTATTTAGAAGGAGAATAAGATGATTTAGTATGTTTGGCAAGAGAGCAAACTTTGCAAGAAAAAGAAGTTGGCATTTTATTAATAAATAGAGCAGGAAACAATTTTGCAAGATAGTGGAAAATAGGATGACCTAAACGAAAGTGCAATAGCATAACAGTATCATTTTGTTCTAAAGCGGTGAACGATTTAGAGATCTCGATTATAGTAGATGAAGGGAGGATGTAGAGGCCATTCTGCAAGGTGGCCTTACCAATCATCTTCTTCGAGTTCAGTGCCTGCAAAGTACAATTAACATCAGTAAAAATTGCAGTGCAATGCAAGTCAATGAAAGTTTACGAACTAAAATGAGATTGCAAGCCAGAGTTGGTACAAAGAGAACATTTTTAAGTGTCATATGTTCATTGAGAACAACAGTGCCATGACCTTCTATGTTGCACAAGGAACCATCAGTCGTTTTGACTGTCTTACCGATGTTTGGGAAAAAATTATAAAACAAATCCTTGTTACCAATTATATGATCCGTAGCACCAGAATCGAGGATCCAATTAGGAGTCATCTGAGAGGATAAAAAAGTTGTAGGATAAGGGTTACCTTCTGGTTTTTTTATGACCAGATTACTCTCACAAGGCCCCTGAAACTTTTCAAACAGTTTTTGAAGTTCAACAATCTGTTCTTTGGTGAAGCGAGTGACAGAGTTGGCAGCAACTAGGCTAGATTTATTATCTTGAGAGGTCTTGGACTTCTAGTCCTGAGGTTTACCATGAAGCTTCCAACACTTCTCTTTGGAGTGGCCGGGCTTTTTGCAATGTTCACACCAAGGTCTCTCCCGTTTCGAAGTATTAGATGATTGATGAGTAAATAAGGCAGATCCATCAGGAGTGGAATATGGTTCATCAGGCAGCATCACACACCGGCGACTTTCTTCTTTCTTGACAATAGCGAAAGCCTCTCGAAGGGAGGGAAGAGGAGAAATAGCCAGTACTTGGCCACGAACCTCGTCCAGTTCCTTGTTTAAGCCTTGGAGAAATTGAAAAAGTCTTCGCTGAGTTACAATATGCTGGTAAAGGGTAGCATCTCTTGGATCTGCCCAATCATGTTGTGAATACAAATATAATTGCTGCCAAAGGGCGGTTAGGGTATTGTAGTAGAGAGTGACAGGCATGGGTCCCTATTTAAGAGTGGCTGCTTGATCTTCAATGTGATATAACTAGGCAATATTATCAGTGCTGGAGTATGTTTCGCGGACTGCACTCCAGATTTCAGCGGCTGTGTTGTACAGAAGAAAGTTTATGCTGATACTCGGGATCATGGAATTGAGGAGCCAAGTCATAACCTGAGACCATTGTCACGCGTCCACTTAGAAAAAACATTGTCAGCAGCAGCATGCTTTTGGATTTCACCAGTAACGTAGCCCAATCTTTCTCTGCCTAAGAGAAAAATCTTAACCGATTGGGACCATTCAAGAAAGTTTTTGCCATTCAATCGATGGCATGTAATTACCAGACCAGATGAATCTGTTTGAGTGTTAGAACCAGAAAGATCTTCTGGATTTGAAGTGATATCCTGAGTAAAAGAAGGAGATGTGGGTGAAGAAGTCGCGGACATGGTCTAGGTTGGAAAGAACCCGTAACCTAATCTGATACCATGTAAAAATCAGTGTAATTCTCTGTATTTTCTTATTATTTTCAATAGGACAAATTACATCTTTATATACAAATTATCTCTCTAAAGTAGGAAACTCTAGGAAAGGAAAGATACTAATCCTAGGAGATATGATCCCTTAAAACAAGGGATTTTAGAAAACTATTTACAGAATTCCTTAAGTAAAGGAATGGTAACAAATCAATATCTCTATAATTCCTACAAAGGTCAGTTACATGAATTGGTGGTTTAATGAAATCTGTTCCAATGGAAAAATTGGAGCTGACTTTCACGTTGGGTCTTTTTGTTTGTTCTTCGTTGACGGTTCATTAATAAGAAATGACATTTAAAACAGTGATGGGTATGATGTCTGAAATGCTAATGTTCTGAGCAAGTCTGACCTATCATTATTTAATTGGCTTTACTGCAAAATACAGAATTTTACCATTCATAATGTTGTCAATATATAGTTGGTTTTGCAAGTTTGTTGAATCACATGCGGTCACTCCCTTTTAGACTCACTGTCCATAGTTCACTTCCTTTTAGTTTATTAAAGAGAAAAAACTACTGTTATTTGCTGCAGGTAGCTAATTTTGAATATAAAGAAGAAGAAGAAACTGTTGCAGAGGAAGAAGCTCAAAAAGTGGCCATGGAGAATAAAAATACTCTGAACAATTCTGAAAGAACCAGTTACTGGGATGAGTTGTTACGAGACAGATACGAAGTTCAAAAAGTTGAGGAGTTCAATTCTCTAGGAAAAGGCAAGAGAAGCCGTAAGCAGGTGTGTGTTATGCCATAATGGCATAACTCAAAATTTGGTTGAGTCAGATATTGATTTATTTGTGATGTCTCAGGAGTTGATTCAACTCCACTCTGCTTATTGATCTTTTGGTTACTAATGTTGCTGTGGTACTAATTGATTTCCTGGTATTATCTTCGGAAGATATATTTTCTATTCTTTTTGCTAAGGCTTCTTCCCTCTAAATTTCTGTAGATGGTATCCATTGAAGATGATGACCTTGCTGGTTTGGAAGATGTAAGCACTGATGGAGAGGATGATAACTTTGAACCTGAACTGACCGATGGTAATACAACTTCATCTGGAACAACTTCATCTGAATTTGAATCTGAAACCGAATCTGGTAAAAGGACTTACAAGAAGAGAAATCGTGGTATGTTTTTTCTGTCCTCAAAGGGTGTTAACGCTTTGATGGCCTAATTTATTCATATGGTAGCCATAATTTCTCCAATTTCTAATCATTGCAGCCGATAGTACGGAGCCAATTCCTCTAATGGAAGGTGAGGGAAAGTCATTTATGGTGCTTGGTTTCAATCAGAGTCAGAGGGCTGCATTTGTACAGATATTGATGAGGTTGGTCTTTCTGTTATTATTTTTTTGTGCTATTTAATGGAGTTAATTTCCTCTTTATCTCCCTTTCTTTCTGTTATTATTCTTTGTGGGTGAATGTATTTCTTTCCTCTAATATTCCTAGTGTCATCGTGTTATTTTGATTGTGATAATTTTTATTGCATCAGGTTTGGGGTCGGGGACTTTGACTGGAAGGAGTTTGCATCTAGTTTAAAACAGAAGTCTTATGAAGAAATAAAAGAGTATGCAGAGTGGCTCTTTCTTCTTATTTGTTATTTTCTGACTAGATTATCTATATTATAGATGTTTTAAACATTTAATAGTTAAGTCTTAGCTGGTATTTTCCTAGTGTTGACATTTTCTGTTCACTTTCTAATGCCTTTTAATGATCTGTTTGCACATGTCATTCGAGTTCATATATGGTTTAGGAATTTTTAGTTTCACATCAGTTGGTGTGCTGTACAATGGGTGGTTTTTTGAATTCATGCTAGCATGAATGCAGTTTATGCTTTCTTGGTCTCTTTCTCTCTTCTAATGCTTGGTTCAAAAACGTTTGATCATTTTTGATGTCCATTATTGCAATTTGCTCGTGCAGATTTCTTTCTCCAGCTTTTCTTCTTTTATTGCATGTTGAGAGAATGAGAATATAAAGTATTCATTTATGGCCCTTTTTTCTATCTTATGTTCAGTTATGGTGTTCTTTTCTTGTCACATCTTGCTGAAGGTGTAAACGATTCTCCAACATTTTCAGGTGATTGATCAATTCTGCTTGTGATTCTTTTTTTTTTTTGGTACTTCACCTTCAACTTGTGGTTTCTTCCCTTGGTGTTTGACATTTGATCTAATATGTATGTGGCTGTAGATGGTATTCCCAAAGAAGGTCTCAGAATTCCAGATGTACTAGTTAGGATAGCTATTCTGCTTTCAATAAGTGACAAGGTAAGCATGCTAATTTGGATTCATGGAGCTTGATTCTTCTTGGATAGACTATTGATTTATAATTACGCCATCTTAATTTTAAACTACGTTGTGCATTTCTGAAGGATACTTCAGACTTGATATTTGGGCAACCAAACCAATATGGAAGATTTGAAAGTGATTTTAGTTCAATTACCTATGAGATTGGTCGGTTGAATATATTGTCTTGTTGTGTCAATGTTTCAAATAACAGGTGAAGAAAGTATCAGAACGGCCTGGCACCCCTCTTTTTACCAATGATATTATCAGGCGCTATCCAGCATTGAAGGGCGGGAAATTTTGGAAAGAAGAACATGATTTGTTGTTACTGAGTGCTGTTCTAAAGTACGTATCTCTGATGTTCTTGGACATACACTTAATGGCTGCACTAATATTTCCTGTTTGTTTTTTCCTGTGTAGTTGATGAAATATTAGTGACTGGGTTATCAGAAAATTGATGTTTTTGACTGTCAATTTTGGTGTTTCTGATAGAGATGTACTTTTGAAGCTGCATCTTCTCTATAATGTTCGTCGACATATTTGTGTCCTGTTTTTTGTACTCTCAAAGTCTAGTGAAAGTGGGTGCTCTAATGCCTATGATAAAATTCAAGTTATAGCCAAAGATACCTGTTTTATTACATGAATTTCTTAGTTGTGAAAAAAGTAAAGCATGCGAACAACATTAACTTCAGATATGATATTTACGCAAAATAGGTATATTGGGACCTACATTTCTTTGGTTAGCTTGCTGGGACTTATCTGTTATGTTTAGTTGCCAGGTTCTTCTTCCTTTTTATTTAACTCGTGGTGTACCAATCTAATTAAAGACATCTGTTGAGATTACTGGGTAACCAATTTGCATACGGTTATGATAGCCATGGTAGACAATCAATTTTATGCATTATATTGTAGACTCTTGTTTTGTCTACTGTAATGCAATTCATGCAGCTATGAGTCAAGATTCGAATTGTCCATACGAATATTTTACCACTTATTTCCTTATTGATTGTTAGGCATGGGTATGGAAGATGGCAGGCTATTGTTGATGATAAAGACCCGAGTATTCAGGAGCTCATTTGTCAAGAATTGAATCTTCCCATTATAAATCTTCCTGTTCCAGGGCAAGCTGGTTCTCAAGTGCAGTATGGAGTTAATGCAAGTAACGCGGAATCTAGTGGAAACCAGATTCGAGTAAATGACTCAGGGAATGGCGTAGGAGGTGGGATAAACCAGGGAGTTACTGGTGCAGCGAACCAAACGCAATCGTACCCGGATTCTTCCATTTTGTATCATTTTAGAGAGATGCAGAAAAAGCAGGTTGAATATGTCAGGAAAAGGGTGCTTCTTTTGGAAAAAGGGCTCAATGCTGAAACTCAGAAAGAATACTATGTAAGTTCAATTACTTCTAACTGGAATTGCTATGTTGACTAAGGTAGTGTTCTATGAATTATAAACGGCCATCGTCTGGCTGAGATATTAGTACTGGTTCGAACTAGAAGTTCTGGCCTGACCAATTACTATGAGCTTTAAACTTTAAGATATCCATTACTTCCGACTAAGGTGTTCAATTACTAGGAGTTCTTGTAGATAATCCGTTTGGTCTTGTCCAATTGTTGGCCACACAGATAATCTTCTAGTTTCTTGTACCATAGCTCCAAGTTTCATGTTAAATCTGTCCTAAACTATAAGATGCTTGCTGACTTACTGCTTGCTCTCGTCCATAATTCCGCTCCTAGGGTGAACCAAACACAAATGAGGGGACAAATGAAGAACCAGAGGGTGGACAAAGGGCTGCTGACATTCCAAGTGCAAGCTCAAGAGAGATGCCCTCCATAGTGGTTGAGCAGATGCCTCCAATAGAAGTAGTTGGTAAGCTGTAATTTATTCAAGCATAAATCTGGTCGAGAAAAATTATTACCTACATTCAATATATCAGATATCATTCTCGTATGTAACTACCATTGTCGTATACAAGACACGCTAAATTCATCCTGGTGACCATTTCATCCTTTTAATCACATTCATTCATGGTGTCTGAATAAGAATGATTAGATATTTGACATCCTATCGCCCTCCTGTCACCATTGTATGCTTTCTTTGTGGTGGATAAAGAGTTTCTTCCTAGAGTTATCTATTTTCTGTCCCCAAGTTTGCTTTGGTGATGACAAGAATTATCCTTGTGCAGCACCAGCAGAAATTTCTGCAGCTGCTTGCGATGATGACACAGACCGACTAGCATTGCCTCGACGTTTCAACGAGGTATGTGATTGCGTTTGACGAGGCTTGAGATTTGGTAGTGTTGCAATTTGTTCAGCGTCTTAGAAATCGAAATGGAAGTGAGCTCCGATGATCATGTTCCGATTAATAGCTTACTCAATTTTCTTTTCCCGATCGTTGCAGATATGCAAGATCTTGGAGGACAATCCTGATGAGAATCAAGCAAGCCTTGATTTGAAGAAGAACCTCCATTCTTTGGAAGAAACTTGTGGGGACATATCTCAGATTCTTTCACCGAACCAACAGCCTGCCACAGGGATTCAAGTTGGGATGGAGAATGAAGATGGCAGTATGGATACCGAAACTGAAAGTCAAAGCAGCAGCCGAAACTGAAATGGAAAGCACCGAGAAAGTCGAAGCAGCAGCCGGCGTTATCGTGTCGGATGATTAACAGGCATTGCTCTTTAATTGTCCAGTTAGACTAGGCATTTACTAATCCGTTTTGAGATATTTGGGGAACCCACAGGATTTAGGTAATTAGTCGCAGGTAAAAGCTTTAGATTTGCTGCATTTGCTGAACTGATGAATGCGTGGATCTCATTTCTTTTTCACAATGATAAACCCTTTTTTATGCAATATATTTGTGCAATTATGTAATCTTCATGCTTTGCATCATCACATAATTATATAAACCCTTTATTCTGTTTTAGTACTTAAACTTTCAATATTGTCAAAATCATACCTAAAGTTTAGTTTTTGTTTCATTTCAGTACATTGTCATTAAAAATCAGATTTTGTTTTATTGTAGTACCCCATTCAAAATTTAACGTTAAGTTCCGAAAAAATTGAAAGTTTAGGTATTAAAACGGACCAAAATTGATAGTTATGTACTAAACGCATTAAGTTTTTAATGATGGGTACTAAAATGAAATGAAAGATACACATTAGGTATGATTTTGAAAAAAATAAAAGTTTATGTACTAAAACGAGCTAAAACTGATAATTTAGATACTAAATAATTTAAACCCTCCCCCATGCTTGATCACTTTTCATTACCAACTTGTTTTGGAAGTAAAAAAGAAATTAAGTTTGAAAGCCATGTCCATGTCCATCTACAAAAGAAGCGCGTAATCAGTTGAAAATGTGGACAAATAGTTTTGTACAAATGCAATCTTCGTTGAACAAAGACCAAAGTAATGTTCTACGGTCAGAAAATGGAATCCAGCACCGACAAGATTTCGCCATTTGTCACCACCTTATTCGTTGAATCCTCGTCCATTCAGTTTAACTTTTTTAAGGTTACTGACCCACCAAGTAACTTCCAGATCCACCATAGGGATCCCCACGCAAACAACGGACTTGTCCCACTCTGACATCCAACTTGTCCCTACGTTGGAAATCCTCTTCCCATTCAATACTTCAGTTCAAATTCCAAAAGATAAAATGTTTTTGGCAGGTCCTTGTAATTTTGAAAAAAAATCAACGAGACCTCAAATTCAGAAAATAAATTCAATGTAGCCCTTTGACCAATGTTTTTCATCGTTGATCGTTACGGTGCTGACATGGCAGTCCAAGGTGGTAGATTAACGTGGCGGATAACATGAAAATTAGCTAATTAGTAACTCAAACATGGTAGATAAAATACCACATCAACATCGTAAATCGTCATGTTAGCATCGTGAACTGACACACCAATATTGTAACGTTCAACGATAAAAAATATTGGTCAAAGGGCTATATTGGATTTATTTTTGAGTTAGAGGGTCACGTTGAGAGAGAAATAATACGATGGTCACATTGGTTTTTTCAAAAGTATAGGGCCCTTTGATGTCTTTTTACCAATATTTTTTGTTAATAGTTTCTGAAATTATAAGATCCTGCTTGTTCAAAATATTTTTTAGTTATTGATAATATATACAGATTTTACAGACATAATTATTCGAATATGTGGTCTTTAAAGAGAATAACATCTCTCCCTACAACTAAGACTGCTTAATGAATTTAAAAAATAAAATATTAAATTCAGCTTTAACATTTAAATTGTAGTTATTTAAATTTTTCACTTTTTAAAACTATTTTAGTTATAATATTTTACTTAGGTTAAAATTAAATGAAAATTATTAGTTGACTAATTATCAATGTTTGTCGCTCATAACGACAAGTCTTATATGTTCAAAGGACTTAACATGTGTCATGTTATCATTTATGTATATGTGGCACGTAGTAGGTTATCGATTTTGATATGTAATATATGTCATCTCATTATGTTAAATATGTAATATGCGTCATGTCATCATTTTAGACATGTGACACATCATCACTTATATACATGAGACACGTGAAACATCATCATTTTAGATACGTGATATGTGTCACATCATCACTTTACGCAAGTGTTATATATTAATCAACTAATAATTTTTATCTAACCATGAGTCATTTTGATCTAAAATGAAACATTGGATAAATTTTGTTTTCTTATAGTTTTAACCTAATTTTTTCTCTCAATATTCTTGTGTCATCTTCTTCTCTTTCTTTGTTTTTTGTTTAGCCGAAGGCAATACCAATATTAATAATGATTGTCGACCATCGGTTATTATTATTATTTTTTCATATTATGTCTTGTTTTTTTTCACTTTTAAATAAGAACATATGTCCTTGTGACACGTTTTTCTCTGCTCTTGTGGCACGTTTCTTATGGTTTTCGGTAAGTTTTTCGCATACTTCTGCGATCGTATTAGTGATTCCACAAATATCCTCACGTCATTTGTTATTTTATTGGCTTGTCGGTAGTCATGTATGGTCAGATTCCCTCTTTTGTAAATGGTATTTTTCAAATATAATCATAATTGCGTAGCGAAGCAGTCTACCAAATTGTTTGTTCTCTCACCACTCTTTATCACATCGTAAAACGTCTCGTTCGATAGAGACAATGAGTTTTATGAAGGTTACTGGATTGTTTTGATGTTTGGAAGGTTTCAATCTCTTCGTATCTTTGTGTTTAATATTTTATTTTATGTATGAGTTTTTGGTGACTATTGTCTCTAATTTTTTTTGGATGTGTTGTAATTTTGATTCCTCTACTCTTATTAATGAAATTTAGCTACCATTATTTAAAAAAATGAAACATTGGATTAAAATACTTAAAAAAACATGGCCTAAAATTACTATCCAATCAAACCGTAGGGATCAATTTGGCATTATGCCATCAGAAAATAAAAACTTCAGTGTTGGTCTAATATGGTTTATAGTCCCTTTAATATATAAAAATTCGAGATTTAATCATTTTGCTTAAATTTGGTACAATGTAAGTCGTCTTCGATCACAACCAAACAACATTACCAAATAAAAGAGATATGCATAAATCCATCAATCTCTATGTATAATTTTCTTTAACCTAATGTAAAATTTTTCTCATTTGTACTGTGTTCAACAACAAATGGGTTAGTGAAACCAAACATGAAAGAACAAAGAATAAATAAAAAGGATCATAGATCCTTGTACTTCTGAATAAAAAATAATGTGACAATCGTATTATTTTTCTCCCGATGTGACCCTCAAACTCGGTAAACAAATTTAATATAGTTCTTTGACCAATGTTTTTTATTATTTGACTATTATGATGTTGATGTGACAGTTCATGATACTGATGTGACAACCTAATATGTCATGTTTAAATTACAAATTTAGCACATTTGTCGTATTATTTGTCACATTATTAACCAATATCGACTGCCATGTCAACACGGTGGACTACAATTTTAACACCGTGAACAACCACGTCAGTATTATAACGGTCAACGATGAAAAACGTTGGTCAAAGGCTATATCCAACTTATTTTTTGAGTTTGAGGATCATATTGTGAAAAAAAATAATATGATGGCCACATTGTATTTTTTAAAAAGTACGATGACCTCTAATGCTTTTTGAAAGAAAGAAAGAAAATAAATCTTCACTTTTTCCAGGCATAGACAAGCAAAGAGAAACCAGTAGGAGCATTTAACTCACTTTCCTCGACGCTTTCCCAGTCCATTACAGTCGAGCTTCCTCCCGACGAAGCAGAAGACTTCGAAATCGAAGACGAAGACGAGCTTCTAGCCGTCATCAACAAGCTCCTCCTTTTCTTCCCTCCGCCGCCAGGTGAATTCGGCCGACACAGAACGACGCCGTTTTTCTCATTAAAAGCACCACCACCCTCTGGCGGCACTACTTGTTCGAGAATTTCAGAGCCTTCATCTTTTTTCTCGAACTTAAACATGAAAACGGCATGGCCATTGTTCGAATCCCGATCAAACAACCAGTTATACACGTCCCACGAGCTTGAATCGAGACCCCATCGACTTCAATCTTCTCGTTGTCAGATGCTTTATTCGCAATACCCTTTCGTCATCGACGCTGAAACAAAGTTCTGCATCGTCGTTTACCATACATTCGACCGAAATCTCTCTCCTTTTACCGGCGATAATGGCCTTTGTAGCGTACGATTTGTTGCTAAAAAGGTGTTCCCTTCTAAAAACAAGAGCTTGGGCTTTCCCGGGGTTTTGAATTTGAGCTCCGGTTCTGGCGTAAGCTTCTCTGGTAGAATCGCCGACGAGAAGTATTATTTCTCCGCCAACAACGACGGAGATATAGAATCCGGATTCGGGTTCGGGGCCGGATCCGAATTTGGCCCTGGAGAAGTCCCAAAAGACATGGATATTTGGGGCGGAGCTGAGTTTTTTTTTTTTGCCATGTTTCTTCCAAAAAACGAAGGGTTTGATAAGAAGATGAAAAGAAATGGATGAAGATGGAGAGAAATGAGGGGAAGGGTGGAGGTTGAAGATGACAGAACAGCCAAGGAAGGTCCGGGACCAGGTGAGGGAGAAAATCCCAAGATTTGTGTCGTAGAAACTTGTTGTAACGTTGGTTTTAACAGCGGTTTGCGGAGGCGAAGACGGCGATATCGACGGTTTGAGCGTGTTGTCTTCGGAGGCGGCGGTGGGGCGGAAGCAAGAAGGGAAGGGGGATGAATGGTGCTGGCGGTGGAGGGACATTATTAGCTGATTTTGAGATTCAAGAGAGATAAGGTTGAAGGCTATATAGTAATACCAGTGGGGTTTAAAGGAGACCGTATTCAAGGGGTTGGGGGACTGGAATGCTAATTATCCTTTTTTCACATGGTTTTTGACAAGTTTAGTTATTATGACAAAAATGGTAAGTAATCAAAATAAATAAATAAATAATGTTGACTGATCATATTAATAATTTTCAAGTTGACCAAACCAACATATTATTGATATATAATAATACATACACCAAACCAAATTACTTCAGTGATTAAAGGAGTTGTTGTTCTTTCTAGAGATCACGGGATCGAGCACTAAGTATTATAAGAGTGATTAATCATTCATTATCAAATAAGTAAAAGTGATTAAACATTCGTTATTAAATGATTAAAGGAGTTGTTGTTCTTTCTAGAGGTCACAAGATCGAGCACTAACGATTGTAAGAGTGATTAACCATTTATTATCAAATGATTGTGAGCAAGTATATTTGGATCGTATTTAAGTTGTTCATCTTTTTGTTTTTATAATCCTTAAGTTATGAGTTTTAAATCAACTAGGAGCGTTCTTTTTTTCACTTTAAGGTATCGGATTCGAGTATTGGGGATGTGTGAGTTTAATGTTAAATAATATTCTATTTTGGCCTACATAAACTGGACCCGGCCACCATTAGAAACGAAAACAACTGGTAAATTGCACCCGTCTTTGCAAGGGAATACTCACGTGCGGCAACCTTAATATATGGCTAAAAAAGACGTTATCGGTTTTGTTATTATTTAAATAACAAAACCGGTAAAATCTTTGCACTTGGGTTCTTCTTCTTAAATCAATGATGACTAGGTTCAAAGATCTATCGAGGGAGGACGAGTAGGGTAGTTTTCTCAATCAAAATTTAAAATTATTATATATTTTAAAATTTTTAATATATTTTTTATTGAAAATATATTTTTGTCCCACTGAAATTTTATAATTTCAAGTTATTCTCGTAACATAAAATCTTGTGTCCGTCTCTAATTAGGTTATTATCAACAATTCGTTGTTCTAGTGGAATGGGGTATTGGATTTTTTTAAATATGGTCAAAGATTTCGATCATGATGATTGTGAATGAAGTAAATTGGATTAGAAATATCGTCACCGCATTTTAATTACTCAATTAATAAATTAAATATAAGTGGTTAATTCAAAAACGACTAGATTATTAATGCACCACCGATAATCATGTCTTTCTAGAGATTGAGGGGCGGTTGGGATAGCTATTTCTCTATAAAAAATTATAATTATAATTGTATAAAATTTTAAAATTGTATAATTACAAATTTTTAATAAAATTTATAAAAAAATTGTATCTCTAATATAAAATTATGCATTCGACTCTCTTTATATAAAATTGTTTGGATGGGGTGTTCACAAAGCTTACACGACAATATACAATATTGATGTGCTAGTTTACGTAGTACATGATAGATGATGATGTAGTAGATGGACTTAATTGATTTTTTGGCTAAATTTAAGGACCTAATTGATCCTTTTATAAAATTTAAAGTTGTAACTATTTTTTTTGAGAAAATATAAAAATTTATTTAAATATAGAGTATAAAATATAAATAATTATTAAGATGTTTAATATATTAAATATAAAAATGCTAAAAATAAATCATTAAAAAATTAGTTTAAGGACCAAATAGAGTGTAAAAAAAAGGTTTAGAGACTATATTGATTTTCTACGAAAGTTTGAGGGTTTTAGATACTATTAAATCAAAAAATTATTGTTAAAATGATTTGAATCTCTACGCGTTAAGATAGAAATCTAGATCTTGTGTTTTTCTGTTCATTAAAATTTTCAAAACAATTTTAATGAAAATACTGAAAACATCATTTTTTTATGTATTCATATTTTCACTTGTTTTTATTTTCACCATTCAGAAATCATTTTATGATTTTACAATCAAACATGTTTTCGTCGACGTTTTCTATTTTCTAAAAAATGAAAATGAAAATAATCTATATTTTTTATAATCAAATGAACCCTAATTTCTCAATTAGGATGATATGAGAAGACACATGGAGCACAACACATCGACACATGATGATCCTAACATCTTTATATATATATATATATTTGAACAAATAACTTATCATCTGAAACATATATCAACAATGGTAGCTTTGAGGTCGTGGGATCGAGTCCCACGGTAGACAATTCATAATTTGGAGGTCTCCTACGGAAGCTGTTCTCAACCTGGCGTTGGGGGCAACATACTATCCTACCTCCCTCTTATCCAATTACATATGAGAATAAGGGTCAGCTAATTTTTTTTTAGCTTTGAGAGTGTTTACGTAATTTTGCGTGTGCATGTGATCAAATTTAGCTAGGAAGTGGGAAGAGGTGGTAATAGTGGGAGGACACAGGTGAGTGAAGTGGGTTAATGGTTTTTAAGTTGAAAACTCTAAATTTGATTTTTAGGTTTCGATCAATTTTGAGTTAGGAAATTTTTTAAGATGCTGAAATGGGTTAAAAAGATATTTCATTAAGTTGAAAATAATAGTGACGTGTCACGTCAGATGAACTAACGAGAGGTAATGTTAGGGACCTTACTAAAAACGAACTAAAAGTTTGGTGGTTGTATTACAAGTTTTTAAAGTTAGGTAACCAAAATACAAGCGTCCTAAAAGTTTGAGGACTATTTATGTAATTTGCCTTAAATGTAACCATCATTTTATAATAAATTTAATTATTAAAATAATTATTAAAATATAATTTAATGATCTATGATATATTTATATCTAATAATATTTTTAAATTTAGAATCTAATTATATAGTGTAAAATTTTTTGTTTTACTTCTTTTTACTATTTTTAGATGAGGAAAATAAAAAATTAAAATTATTTTTTAATAAATATTTTCAAAATATTTAATTTTAATTATTCAATTATCATAAAATAGAAAAATCAAAAGATTTAAACCTAATATGATTCTTCCCCATAAAATATAAGATAATTTACAATTGAACTCATAATTTAGGGGAAAGTCTAAAGAAAGACAATTTAATTTAAGGCCGAGAAAATGCACAATCGAAAATATTATGAAAAATTATAACATTTTTCGTTAGACGTAACCTAAAATTTAACATTTTTCTATTAAAAATTTTCCTCATAATATTTTCAATTGATAACAAAAAAATGTTATCATCTAAACAAAATTTTTGATTAAACAAAAAATATTGAAGAATTAATATTTTAAGTTATTAACAGAGAATATTACATTTTCATAATATTTTCGATTATACTCATTTATTATATAATTATTTATTCTTAAATTAGGTTCACATATAGGGATGACAATTCAATCCGAACCCGACGGGTTCTGATCCGACCCGGTTGGAGTATATTTTTTTTAAAAAAAAAATCGGGTTCGGGTCGGGGTTTTTTTAAATGCACTGTTTGGGTTGGGTTTAGGGTGAAAAAAATCCGACCCGACCAGAAAAATATATATAATTTTACCCTATATATTTAGGGATAATTACAATATTACAACTATATATATATATATTTAATTAAGTCATTATTTTTATTGAATAAAAATATTTTTTTATTGAAATAAAAATATTTTTTTATTATTTCGTGTTGGGTCGAGTAAGATTTTTAAATCATATATTCGAATCAGTTAAAACCTTAATTTCGTCTGATCAGGTCGAATCACGGGTGGAAGACATTTTCTTCTCAGCTCAAGTCAGGTGACCCAAAAACCCAATATGCTAATCCATTGCCATCCCTATTCACATAGGGTATAACTACCCATAATTTAGAGTCATAGTATATATAGTATAAAGGAGGGAGTGTCAGACCCACTGGCCACACAATTGATTCCATTTTTCTTCTTTTTCTCACCTCTCTCACGCGTTCTCGGCCGACCCTTCTTAACAATGACAAAGCCCAAGTCAAAGAAAAAGGTTCTCGATTATATTTATCGAAGGAGAAAATCAAATCCCCCAGTCTCTATATATTATTGCTCACACCCATCTCCCTCACTTTTCATCTTCTTTTCTCTTCTGAATCCCATTTATAAGATCCACAGATTTATCAATATCTGGGTTTCTCTCTTTTTTCTTGTTCTTTGGTTGTAACGATGATGGTGAAAGATGAGTGGGTTCAGGCGGCGATCACGGACGACAACGTGGTGGTTGAGTTGTTGGTAAGGCTCAAGCAAGCCCAGGTGGCACCGCCGGTTTTCAATTCTGCCTTGCCCGCGTTTAGGTGGGGGATACGTCAGCGGAGGTCTAAACGCATGTTGCTGCGATGCGACGGAAACAGAGACGGAGGTAGTCCCACCACGCCGCTTTGTTGGAGCGGTGGTAGCAGCGACGCCTCTCCTTCCGCCGTCGACGGCTTTGAAGAGATCAGCACACACGTCCACCGCTCAAATCCTGTCGCACCTCCCAGATCCAAGGTTTTCTTCCCACTCTCTCTCTCTCTCTCTATTAAGTGGCTGAATCTCTTTTGCTTTCATATTTTGGGTTGACGGTTACGTATCGCCGCCTTTGTTTTCGGCTTCGCCTTTTCGTCTGGTTTCTGATTTGGAATGACAGTAATTCATCGATTCCCAGCTGAGTCACCGAGTTCATCAGATCTGACATTATTAACTTTTCTCTTCATCTTCGAACTTCCCGATTCGACCTCTCCGATCATCGGTTTAACAGTGTTGTTACTAAAACGGCGAAGCCGTTATCATCCCTACCGTTTGGACTAAAAAGCCCCTGTTTTTTAAAACTTTTTACCATTTTCACGTGAGGACGGATTTTTACTGAACCTTACTTTTAAACCATGCCCCTTTCAGGGCTGGAAAGGAAACTACACAGATCACTAGCTCGGTAAATACTTGAATTAAATATATTTAATATCTCGAGTTTTTAACGAGTTGATATAAACTTAAATAATAAGAAAGTTCTACATTATTAATTCAAGAAAATCGATAAAAAAATTATAAAAATATTATTATTTATACTCAAAATATTATTAAACGGTAAAATGTTATTTAAAATATTATTTTTTTATTTGATATATTACCAAACATTGTAAAACAATTAATAATAATAAAATTAGTAGAAATAATAATATTTTAATAATAATTTACTGATTTTATTAAAAACTAATAATAAAACGAATAATAACTTTTTTTTATCGTATATTAACTTGTTGCTCATGAGATTTTCCCTAAATAGTATATTATATTTTTAAATTTTACTTTTAATTATAATAATATTTTAAATAAATTATGTGTTTAATAATTAAACTATTAATTTTTTGTCTTAATATTTAAACTTTATTTTTTTTTAAAAATTACACATAAAATTTAATTTCTTTATCATTTTAATATCGATCATTAAATTTTTTAATTTTTATTTTATTTTAATACGTGTCGTTAAGATTTGAGAAAATTAAAATTTTAGATATTAAAATATATCAAAATTAATATCCAGATACTAAACACTAAGTTTTTAACCATGAGTACTAAAATAAATTAAAAATTAAACATTAGATATTATTTAAAAAATTTAAAAATTTAATTATTAGTACAATTTAAAATTGATAATTTAATTATTAAATACATGGTATACCTGACATTTTTATAGGTTATTTTGAGAAAGGAGTACAAGATTTTCATTCGAATTCAGATTTTAATATAGTTAAATTTTAAGAAAAATCAAATTAAAATTTCAATTTTTTTAATTTTTATTTGATAATTTTAAACTCTCCACTCTCAAATTCGTTCGTTTACATCAGTAACCTTGTTTACCAGATCAGAGCTTTCCAGTAGAGGACAATTTGTCAGAAGTGTAAATAGGATTCCCCAGCTCCCACCGTCCAAGGAGCTTTCAGCGCAGTGGGGGGCGTTTCGGTCATAGTAATAGGTGGAAGTGGACCCCGTCGAAATGAAGGGGAGGGAGAGTACTTCAGGTGTGACGCTGGTGTAATCGGACTTGGTAGAGTCCATAGACGAAATCGAAAAAATTGAAAAATCGATATGGATCGAGTAAAATAATTTGATTTGGTTTAATTCTGTTTTGTATTATACGATTTAGTTTTCGGTTCGGTTTAAAGTTTTCATTCTTTTGATTCGGTTCGGATTTTTCATATGGAACTCATTTGTTTCATATTTAACCGAATAGATAATTTTTTTTTAAAATTATAGTTTCAAGTGATTTTTTCATTGAAAAACTGAACAGAACTGAAAAATCATAATCGTTAAAAAAATCGAACTGAACCGAAAAAAATCGATTTCGATTTTTTTAATTTTTTAACCATTCAATTTCGATTTAAATTTTAAAAAATCATTTATTTTGATTCGATTTACTTTTTGATAAAAAACCGAACTAAACCAAATCGAATACACCCTTAACCTTCCCCAATCTGTAACGTACTATATCTCTTAATTTGTTTCGGGATTATTAGGTCTAGGTGGGGAGCGGGTTATGTAAGTCACGTGCGTGGTATTCGTCACGTGCTTGTCAGTCTTACGTGGGGTCTTATACCGGCTTTTGTCGTTTTCGTTTTTTAATTCTATGCCCCTTTGGCCACTCTGACTCCGCCGGCTTTACAAACAGAAGCGCCTTAGGTTGCATCTTTCTATACAATTTTTTTTTATTATTATATATATATATAATCATCGTGAAAAATATTTTTGGATCTGATACTGTGAATGTTAATAGTGTCTTCTCATTTTCTCTCTTCTATTGTAATTCTAAATAAAAATTAATTTTTAAATAATATTTAATATTTAGTTTTTATTTTATTTTAGTAATTCGTTATTAAAAATTTAACGCGTTTAATACATAAATTATTAATTTTGATCCGTTTGAATACCTAAACTTTCAATTAATTTTAAGATTTAATTGTAAATTTTAAACGGGTACTAAAATAAAAAAAAATTAAACTTTAGATATTATTTTAAAAATTAAAAGTTTAGACACTGAAATGAATAAAAACTAATAGTTTAAGTACTGAATACTTAATTTACCCTAAAAGTTAATTCATTTTATTAAAGGAGTTTACATTCCAGTCAAGTATTAGTGAGTTTGTATCAAGTATGATTATTGTTCGAGTTGTTTGAGTTCAATTATGTTACACCGGCCCATAGTTAGAGATAATCATGGGTCGGGTCGAATTTTTAGTTTATACGACTCGATTCAAGTATAACATCCCTCCATCTGTCATTGGATCTGGGTTTAGAAAAGTTAAACTCGACCTGACTTTTAAGATAAAATCAACTCGAGAGTTAAAAAGAGTGGACTGCAACTAGCACTAACCATTGCCTTCCCTCTAATGCTGTGGCCTTGACAAACTTGAGATTAGCTTCGGTGTCTCGTTTACAAGCATCTAACAAGTTTTAGGCAATCCGGATAATTGCGATACATGCTTAGTTTATTGATTAATGGTGGGTTTTACTGGTTCTGCAGGGCAGTGCTTGTAGTGGAACCAACAGAACAAGTTCCAAGAGGTCAAGAAGAAAGAAGGTACCAAAATTACCTGTGATTTTCCTGGGAAAAAATGTTTCACGTTGACGATGATTAATTGGTTTAGAGCAATTTATTGTCATTTTTCAGACACTTGCTGAACTGGAGGAGGAGGAGGAGGAGGAGGAGGAGGATGGGAGTTGTAAAGAACATCAAACCACGAACGAGAACTTGAAAAGAACTAGGGTTAGTTGAAAATACATGTTTCACGTTGAGAGTTTCTTAATTATTCTTGCCCTATTTTGATGTAAACTTCACTTGTGTTACAGCTTCATTCGAACTCGAGTTTAATCGATAATGAACCAGAAATGGTACATTGTCCGAGACCACCGGATGGTGACCGTAAACCGCCGTTAGATTCCCGCAACGCAGGCAAAGATATCTTCGTACTGCCTGATCTAAATATGATGCCCGGTGAAGACGACTCGGGTCCCGAAATGTTACACGGGACTAGCTGAACGGGCAAAGATATTGAGGATTGGTAGAGACTGTTGTTATGAGGTAAAGACGATCCCCTCATTGCCGCCTTGTTTCGAAATTTTATGTATATAAATTAGTTGCTTATCTTTGTAGGTTAAAACTTGTTTAAACGATTTCATAGTATTGGTGCTGGGAAAACAGAGTTTTTACCCTCTTCCCCTTTTTAACTTGGGGAGCATTCCTAAATTCATTGATGCCTGCTATTTCTTACCGATTTCCTTTTTACCGTGAACCGAAGGAATTTATTAGGGGTGAGTATTCGGTCGAGTAGAATATATGATTTAATATGTTCCGCCATCGGCGGTTCACTCCTTTTAATTTGAGCGTAGGGTCGCGATCGACGAGAGAGTGATTGAACTTTGGTGTTTTTTGTTGGAAAACGACGAAGAGGATGGAATGATTCCCAAGTAAGAAGGAATCCTCTTTTCGATCTCGCTCAGGTATAAATAGCCTAATCATATGGTGGTTGTTGTCAGATCTAAGATCATAATAACTACACACGTAGATTGTCAGTTTGTGCAGATACAACTATCAGTCATCAAGCTTAGGTATAAATAGCCTGATCATATGGTGGTTGTTGTCAGATCTAAGATCATCATGACTACACGTAGATTGTCGGTTTGTGCAGATTCGACTATCAGTCATCAGATTTGATTGTTAAAATCATTTCGTAGGATGACGAAGGGGAGTTCTGGGTGACCATTTGGCCAAGATAGGTTTTAGGATGCTTGTCAATCGCAATGCAAGTAGAAGCTTATTGGGGTTGATCGAAACCAATGCCTGCACATAATGGGTGTATTTTATGACCAAATTACAAGCATGCAAACTTACAAGAAAGGATCAAGAATGGAACATTGGCATTAAATATAGGGTTAATACACTTTTAGGTGCTTAAATTATATCTCAAATTGATTTTTGGTAGTTAAAAAATATGTTTCTAATGTTCTATCAGTTATATTTTTAAGTATCTGCCGTTAAAAAATCGTTAAATGACATGTGTCACATTTATATTTTTAAAAAATATTTTATTTTAAAAAAATTAAAAAATATAAACATGACACATGTCACTTACTGTTCTTTTAACAGTAAGTTTCTAAAAGTGTAATGAAGAAATTGTTAAACAATTATTTTTAACGAAAATTTTTTTTAAGCAACAAAAATACAATTTGTGATATAATTTAAACACTTAAAAATGTATTAAGCCTTAAATATAATATATTTTCTTTATTTTGGGCGGTCGACAATGAGTTAAAAGGACATTTAGGCCCTCACTTACTGAGCAAAGTTGAACTAATGCAGCCATGTATAAGACTAGGCACGACTCACCACTTTATAGGGAGAGCAAATGTTTTTTTTCCATCTATTTGATTAGTTTTCTATTGGGTAAATTACATGTTTGATACTTAAATTAATAGTTTTGGTATCTAAATTTTATTTTTTAAAGCAAACTAACGTTTAGTTTTTTGTTTTATTTAGTACCCCACAGTTGAATTTTTTTTGGACTAGTTCCTCGATCGTCGCATCTACATTCGTCGATCGTCGTATCCATCAACTGTTGAAGCTCAAACTTTCTAATTCGCCCTTTTTTGACCCCTAAATGGGGTTTAAACATCTATTTTACCCAAAAATGCCTCAATTTTCCCAAATCAACGATTAACAGTTTGACTTCTTCATCTTTAGATCTTTGTCATCAACTGTATGAAGAACCTGAAATTGGACTATGTTGGTCGACTCCTCATTCTCTCATGGTCCACCGTTCGGATCGGTCATTCGTCCACCAGAGCTATTCTCCGTCACCTTGTTCGTTAAATTTTTAACAATGGTGTACTAAAATGAAAGAAAAAAAACTAAACGTTAAATATGATTTTGAAAAAATTAAAAGAGTATGTACTAAAATGAACCAAAACTAATAATTTAAATGCTAAATACAAATTTACCCTTTTCTATTTGAAAATCACTTGATTAAATTGAAATAATCGGACCAATTTGACTACCAAACAAGACCTAAAAAATAATTTAATCTATATATCATGTCATCCGTCGTGTGATCAGTCATCGTGAACTATTACGTTAATACCATGAATTATCGCATTATTGGTCAAACATCAAGATTATTTTTCGAATTGAAAATCTATATTAGACAAAAACATAATTCAAAAACCACATTAATTTTTTTAAAAGGGTACAACATCCTCGCGAAGAGTATAAAGAAGAAAAAAAATTAGTTGACCCTATTCCCATATGTAATGGGGTAAAGGGGAGGTATGATAGTAGGTTGCCCCCAACGACCAGGTTGAGAGCAGCTTCCGTGGGAGACCTCTGACAGTCAGAATTATGAATTGCCCACCATGAGACCTCTGACAGTCAGAATTACTCAAACTATAAACCTCTAAAAATAACCGTTGTCTCTTTAGTTACTGAAATAGTTTAATTCGTGTTAATGAAATAGTTTAATTTAAAACTGACATTAATCTTTTCCACTCAATTTTATACATTAATCTTAAAGAATAAAACTGGTTTCATTAACACGAATTAAACTATTTCAGTAACTAAAGAGACAACGGTTATTTTTAGAGGTTTATAGTTTGAGTAATAACAATCGTATGATATTTATACGTCCATTTTAACAAAAAAATTAAAACATTGGAAGTTAAAATATTTCGAAAAAATAAAAAATAAAGTGACTAATTTTACCAGTATACCTTAAATATATTAAAATATATTTTCTAACCATTTAAGTTTTAAAAATTATAAAAATATTATTTTTTAAACATTTACAAAATGATTGTTAAACTTTATCAAAATATTATAAAATAGTTCTCAAATTTATTGATGTATAATAAAATATTTTTTAAACTTATTAAAATTTATCATTATTTTGTAGTAATTTGATAGGTTTAATTACTATTTTATATCCTTTGAAACAAAAAAAATAGGGTAAAATATATGAATGGTTCTCCGACTATAGGATAATACTTTATTGAGTCTCTTAACTATAAAAAGTTATAAAATAGTCCATGACTATAGGAAATTGCTTTGTTGAGTCCCTCGAGTATTAAAAATTACAAAATGGTCATCTTGTTATTCATTATGTTCCAAACTCAAAATTGGTCCCTCGACTATAGGGAGTCTGAGCTTGATTTTATATACATGGAAGTCAAATAAATTTTCTATATTTATAAATTGTTTCAAATGCTTAAATTATATGTTTTTAGGGGGGAAATAGAGAAAATTGGAAATTTGGGAATAATAGTTGATTAATTAGAGAAATAGTGATGTTTTTATAATATATGGTGAAATTATAGGTAGCTAAAATTGCTTTTGATAGAATTATTAATAAATATTGACGACTTTATTTCATTTTTTCTTGTATTTGTAAGATCAAATGAAAAGAAAATTATAAATATAAAAAAATTCTGAACATATATTACCTTTTAATCGTCTAAAACTATCAAAAGAAATTTAATTCACTTAAACACAATTTTTAAAAATTTCATATTTTTATCCATCAACTTTTATCTCTTTGTAATTAGTTTCAAAACACAAATAAAAAAGGGTAAACTACGTGTTTAGTATCTAAATTATAAGTTTTAATCCGTTTTAATATCTAAACTTTCAATTTCTTTAAAACTATACCTAATGTTTAGTTTTTATTTTATTTTAGTACCCCGCAGTTAACTACATAATGCATTTAGTACCTAAACTATTAGCTTTAGTCCATTTTAATACCTAAATTTCTAATTTTTTTCAAAACTTAACATTCAATTTTAAACTGATACTAAAATGAAATGAAATTTTATATTTAAGCCTAAGTCAAATAGAAAATATAAATCCCTGTACCTGCAGCCTGCCCCTGCCCCTTATAAGAATATTTAAAAAATATTATAGAATTAAATTAATAGTTGTATCTATCTGATCATTAATAGTTAATTTAATTAATTGAATTATCAATTCAACAATGATTAAATTATAAAAAATTAGGAAGCTGGCTTTTCTTCAACAACTCTACTATGGTGTCTTTCAATAATCGATGGGGAACTTTTATTTTGCGGCGCCTAAAAAATGGTGTGATCGGTTAAATAAGTGACCGGTTAAAATTTAGATCGTTATGTTATATCATTTAACCGGAAATATTATCAAGCATAATAACATATTAGGTAGCGCTTAGATAATGTAATAGGTAGCGCTTAGATAATAAAATAAACATTTAACCAGAAATATTATCAAGTATAATAACAAATTAGGTAGCGCTTATATAATGTAATAGGTAGCACATATATTGACCTATTTTCTCATAAAAAGATAAATTTAAACCGGTTACATTATAAATTGACCTATTACATTATAAATATCAGTTTCAATGTTTTCAGGATCGATACAATTTTAAATGTATCGACACTTTATGCGTGCAACTCGTTTGTGTTTTATTTTGGAAAAAAGTATCGACACATATTTAAAGAGTGTTGATACATAATGTAGACCTATTTGCTAATTAACCGGTATATTTTAACCGGTTACATTGTAAATTTATATGTTACATAATAATTATCGATTTTGATGTTTCGATGATCGATACTTTTTAAAAATGTATCGACATTTTATGCGTACACCTCGTTTGCCATTTATTTTGAAAAAATGTATCGACACAAATTAAACAAAGTGTCGATACTTTATGTTGACATATTCTCTCATGAACCCGGTATATTTCTACTGGTTACATTGGAAATTTACCTATTATATTATATTTGTCGACACAAAATCTAATAGTGTCGATACTTTATGTTAACCTGTTTTATAATTAAACGGTATATGTGTACTGATTACATTGTCAATTTACCTATTACATTATATCATTTGTCATTAAAATAGTCTAATTTTACCACATACATTGTAATTTTACCTATTACTTTAAAGTTATTGAATTATGTAGTTATTGTACATACATGAATATGTCCTGCAAATTTAATGTTGTACCCACCCTTCAACTACCACCACTACCAATACCACATCCTATTGAAAGCACTACTGAAACATATTGTTCAATGAACCTTTACTTACATACATCTCCATCAACTCCTGTTGGGACCACTGAAATTGCACAACAAAATTTTTGCCATGGATCATACTGATGCAGACAATGTTAAGCCAACCGAGTAATACAATAAAGTACATAATGTTGATGAATCTGACATATTGGTTGGTAAGCTCTTCTCTTCACATGATCAAGCTTGGTACTTTTACAAG